CTGCCTTCCAGGACATCTATAGCACCCGATATCACAGGAAGGCCAAAATGATCATCAAGGACCTCAGCCACTTGAGACACGGACTCTTCACCCCACTATCGTCCAGAAGGCGAGGTCAGTACAGGTGCATCAAAGCTGGGACCGAGAGACTGAAATACATCTTCTATCTCAAGGCCATCAGACTGTTAAATAGCCATCACTACCCGGCCTCCACTCAGTACTCTGCACTGAACTTAGTCACTGTAACTAGCCGGCTACCACCCGGTTACTCAACCATGCAGCTTAGAGGCTACTGCCCTATGTACATAGACATGGAATTACTGGTCACTTTAATAACGGAACACTGGTCACTTTAATAATGTTTACATACTGTTTTACTAATTTCATATGTACAGTTGTATACTGTATTCTAGTCAAGTCCATCCTATTCAACTACTGCTGTATATATACTATTCTATACACGTATTCTTCAGATATACTAAATATTCTATCCACTTACTATCCATATTGTCTATTCATCCCATCACATATACAGTACCAGTCAAAAGTTCGGACACACCTACTCATTCAAGGGTTTTTCTTTATTTTTACTATTTTCTACATTGTTGAATAATAGTGAAGACATCAAAACTATGAAATAACACACATGGAATCATGTAGTAACCAAAAAAGTGTTTTATATTTGAGATTCTTCAATGAAGCCACCCTTTGCCTTGATGACAGCTTTGCACACTCTTGGCATTCTCTCAACCAGCTTCATGAGTTAGTCACCTGGAATGCATTTCAATTAACAAGTGTGCCTTGTTAAAAGTTAATTTGTGGAATGTCTTTCTTTCTTAATGCGTTTGAGCCAATCAGTTGTGTTGTGACAAGGTAGGAGTGGTATACAGAAGAAATACCTATTTGGTAAAAGACCAAGTCCATATTATGGCAAGATCTGCCCAGATAAGCAAAGAGAAATGATAGTCCATCATTACTTTAAGCCATGAAGGTCAGTCAATCCGGAAAACTTTGAACGTTTCTTCAAGTGCAGTTGCAAAAACCATCAAGCCCTATGATGAAACTGGCTCTCATGAGGACCGCCACAGGAAAGGAAGACCCAGAGTTACCTCTGCTGCAGACGATAAGTTCATTAGAGTTACCAGCCTCAGAAATTGCAGCCCAAATAAATGCTTCACAGAGAGCAAGTACCAGACACATCTCAACATCAACTGTTCAGAGTAGACTGCGTGAATCATGCCTTCATGGTCGAATTGCTGCAAAGAAACCACTACTAAAATGACACCAATAAGAAAAAGAGACTTGCTTGGGCCAAGAAACACGAGCAATGGAAATTAGGTGGAAATCTATCCTTTGGTCTGATGAGTGCACATTTCTGGTTTTTGGTTCCAACTGCTGTATCTTTGTGAGACATGGAGTAGGTGAACGGATGATCTCCGCATGTGTGGTTCCCACCATGAAGCATGGAGGAGGAGGTGTGATGGTGTGGGGGTGCTTTGCTGGTGACACTGTCTGTGATTTATTTAGAATTCAAGGCACACTTAACGAGCATGGCTACCACAGCATTCTGCAGCGATACGCCATCCCGTCTGGTTTGCGATTAGTGGTACTATCATTTGTTTTTCAACAGGACAATGACCCAAAACACACCTCCAGGCTGTGTAAGGGCTATTTGACCAAGGAGAGTGATGGAGTTGAAGGATGGGACTAATAACAACTAACAATAAATAATAACAAGATAACAAATAATGTAAGCATACTGTGTCCATAGGTAAGGAGAGCTTTTGAGAAAGAGCTCAGTTAGGAAGATATGGCATATAGAAGCAAACCGGATGGACATCATGAAAATGATCGGAGAGGTTGAGAATAGAAGAAGTTCAGGAGAAAAAACAAACAAAATATAATTATTGTAAAATTGACTGTGTCCATAAAATGTATATAGAAAGTATAAGCTGGACATAGAGGCCTAAGCATTGTTGTTCACTAGTTTACTCCAAGTAGGGAAAGGGTGGTGGGGTTGGAAAGTAATAAAGGGGAATATATATTTTTTTAAGGATATGTATGTGTATGTATGTGTGTGTATATATATATATATATATATATATATATAAACATGTGGGATTGGAAGTGATGCAGACAATTACATTGATGGAAGTTACAATCTATCTACTATATTAAGCTGATCTACCCCCTAAAAAAAATATATAATAATAAAAAAATTATGGAGTGATGCATCAGATGACCTGGCCTCAACAATCACCCAACCTCAAAAAAATTGAGATGGTTTGGAATGAGTTGGACCGCAGAGTGAAGGAAAAGCAGCCAACAAGTGCTCAGCATATGTGGGAACTCATTCAATACTTGGAAAAGCATTCTTCATGAAGCTGGTTGAGAGAATGCGAAGAGTGTGCAAAGCTGTCATCAAGGCAAAGGGTGGCAACTTTGAAGAATCTCAAATATAAAATGTATTTTGATTTGTTTAACACTTTTTTTGGTTACTACATGATTCCATATGTGTTATTTCATAGTATTGATGTCTTCACTGTTACTCTACAATGTAGAAAATAGTAAAAAATAAACACTTGAATGGATAGGTGTGTCTAAACTTTTGACTGGTACTGTACATATTTACTGTGCATTCGGAAAGTATTCAGACCCATTCCCTTTTTCCACATTTTGTTACAGCCTTATTCTAAAATTGATTAAATTATTATTTTACTCATCAATCGACACTTAATACCTCATAATGACAAAGCGAAAACTTTCTATAAATTTTTGCAAATGTAAAACAAATTACAAAAATACCTTTTTACATAAGCATTCCGACCCTTTGCTATGAGACTCGAAATTGAGCTCAGGTGCATCCTGTATTCATTGATCATCCTTGAGATGTTTCTACAACTTGATTGGAGTCCACCTGTGGTAAATTCAATTGATTGGACATGATTTGGAAAGGCACACACCTGTCTATATAAGGTCCCACAGTTGACAGTGCATGTCAGAGCAAAAACCAAGCCATGAGGTCGAAGGAATTGTCCGTAGAGTTCCGAGACAGGATTGTGTCGAGGCACATATCTAGGGAAGGGTACCAAAACATTTCTGCAGGATTGAAGGTCCCCAAAAACACAGTGGCCTCCATCATTCTTAAATGGCAGAAGTTTGGACCACCAAGACTCTTCCTAGAGCTGGCCGCCCGGCCAAACTGAACAATCAGGGGAGAAGCGCCTTGGTCAGGGAGGTGACCAAGATCCCAATGGTCACTCTGACAGAGCTCCAGAGTTCCTCTGTGGAGATGGGAGAACCTTCAAGAAGGACAATCATCTCTGCAGCACTCCACCAATCAGGCCTTTATGGTAGAGTAGCCAGACGGAAGCCAATCCTCAGTGAAATGCACATGACAGCCGCCAAAGAACTCTCAGACTATGAGAAACAACATTCTCTGGTCTGATGAAACCAGGATTGAACTCTTTGCCTTGAATGCCAAACTTCACGTCTGGAGGAAACCTGGCACCATCCCTACATTGCAGAATGGTGGTGGCAGCATCATGCTGTGGGGATGTTTTTCAGCGGCAGGGACTGGGACACTAGTCAGGATCGAGGGAAAGATGATCGGAGCAAAGTACAGAGAGTTCCTTGATGTAAAACCTGCTCCAGTGCGCTCAGGACCTCAGACTGGGGCGAAGGTTCACCTTCCAACAGGACAACGACCTTATGCACACAGCCAAGACAACGCAGGAGTGGCTTTGGGACAAGTCTCTGAAAGTCCTTGAGTGGCCCAGCCAGAGCCCGGACTTGAACCCAATCGAACATCTCTGGAGAGACCTGAAAATAGCTGTGGAGCGACGCTCCCCGCTCAACCTGACAGAGCTTGAGAGGATCTGCAGAGAAGAATGGGAGAAACTCCCCAAATACAGGTGGGCCAAGCTTGTAGCGTCATACCCAAGAAGACTCAAGGCTGTAATTGCTGCCAAAGGTGCTTCAACAAAGTACTGAGTAAAGGGTCTGAATACTTATGTAAATTTGATATTTCAGTTATTTTTCGCAACACATTTCGCAACACCCCTGCTAAATATGTTTATGTGACCAATGACATCTGCTAAATATGTTCATGCGACCAATAACATCTGCTAAATATGTTCATGCGACCAATAACACCTGCTAAATATGTGCATGCGACCAATACATTTTGTTTTGATTTGAGTACCATTATATTTAACATTTACATTTCAGTCATTTAGCAGACACTCTTATCCAGAACGACTCAAATACGTTGTCCTATATCCTATCAGAACACCTGCAGCTGAAATGACACCAGTGTTGTTTCATGCCCTGGATATAGAAAGTTTTTTAGCAAGGAATGTTGTAGTTTATTCTACCTCCAGTCTGGTCCAGAAGGAGAAAAGCATGTGACTTATGTCAGTGTGTGCTTTGAATAAATGTATAGAATTACATAAGTTATATACTGTACTTTCTGTCAGAAGGACATTTGCTAAAATGTAGCAAATTTGTCCTCACACGTTCACATCAATATACATAGATTAATGAATATGTGACTAAATGCAAACAGCCGGACACATGAAGTGAGTGTGTGTGTGTGTGTGTGTGTGTGTGTGTATGTGTGTGTTTGTGGATGTGTTTAACTATACTTGTGGGGACCAGAAGTCCCCACAAGAATAGTAAACCAAGTAAATTTGGACCAACTGGGGACATTTTGTTGGTCCCCACAAGGTCAAATGATATTTCTAGGGCATTTAGGGTTAGGGTTAGAATTAGTGTTAGGGTTATAATTAGGTTTAGGGTTAGGAGATAGGGTTAGTTTTAAGGTTAGGGTTAGGAGCTAGGGTTAGGTTTAGGGTTAGGGTTAGGGTTAAGTTTAGGTTTTTGGGTTAAGGTTAGGGTTAGGGTTAAGGTTAGGGTAAGGGTACGGGTTAGGGGTTAGGGAAAATAGGATTTTGAATGGGACTGAATTGTATGTCCCCACAAGTTTAGCTGCGCAAGACTGTGTGTGTGTGTGTGTGTGTGTGTGTGTGTGTGTGTGTGTGTGTGTGTGTGTGTGTGTGTGTGCGTGCGTTGTCCTCACCCATAGCGTTGCTGTTCAGCAGTAGTACACCGTGAGCATGGGCAGTGTTCTCTAGACCCATATAGAAGGGATGCACACCATAGCTGTTCATTTTATACTGCACCAGGAGAGAGAGAGACACAGAGAGAGAGATAGAGAGGGAGCGATAGAGAGGGAGTGAGAGAGATACCATATAGAGAGAGAGAGAGAGAGAGAGAGAGAGAGAGAGAGAGAGAGATAGAGAGAGAGAGAGAGAGATAGAGAGAGAGTAGAGAGAAGAGAGAGAGAGAGAGAGATAGAGAAGAGTAGAGAGAGAGAGAGAGAGAGAGAAATTAAAATGATGTATTAGATCAGAGAGTCCCAGAGTTAATTTGAGTGGAGGCAGAGATAGAGACTGGATACTGAGTTCCTTCTGTGGCGGACCACTGAGAATATCAAAAGTCATTACTGCCTGTTTCATGACAGAAAGGAATGTGTTCATGTGTGAAGTAATGGCTCTGAGGTATGCCTCTGTCTGTCTCCGCTGCTGTGTGTGTGTAGGACCTGGTGGCATTAGGACGTGATGTGATGGCATGACTCAGAAGAGAAAGGTTGTTAGCTCATCCGCTAACAAGGACTGACAGGTAATGACGACACACACAATCACACAAACACGCACGAGCACACACACACAATCACAATCACACAATCAGACAAACACGCACGAGCACACACACACACAGAATCACACAAACACGCACGAGCACACGCAGAGGCTCAAGAGGGGAACATACACACTGCAGTACCCTGTGGAGTTGTCATAACAGCTCAGCAATTAAACAGGACAAAGCTGACATGAGCAGACTTCTTGGCCCTGCGTGTGTTGAGCCTTATGAAGGACAGGAGGACTGTCATCATTATCACAATGCAAACCAAACTGGTCCATCTGGGGAAATTCCATTAGACACTGATAGGAAGTTTTCCATGAAATGTCATGTCTACTGTGTTTGCATCAGTGCATGTGTGTGTGTGTATGTGTGTGTGTGTGTGTGTGTGTGTGTTTGTGTTGTGGTTTGTTTTGTGTGTGGGTGTGTGTGTGTGTGTGTGTGGGGCGTGCATTTTGTGCGTGTGGGGTGCGACTCCCCCAGGAGGCTGGTCCTTAGCGAACATGCCCCAGGTATGATAGTTGAGGTCGTGTTTGTATGAGGTGTGTTCTGTCTCTCCAAAGCCATAGACATAATCTGAAGACAGACGTGTTGACACCTGGATGAACAGATCTGAGAAGGTAAAGCCTGGCAACGCTGAGTCCCATCTGAGAGAGAGAAACGATAGGAGGGAAAAGGGAGAGAGACAAAACGAGAAGGGGATAGAGAGAAGGGGAAGGAGAGAAATAAAATAGAGCGAGATAGATAATCGTAGAGAGAGAGAAATTAGAGAGAGATATGGGAGGAAGAGAAGGGAGAGTAGCATAGGAGAGGGGAGATGAAGGGATAAGAGATTAGAGAGAGAGAGAGATAGATAGAGAAACGGGAGAGAAGAGAATATTTGGACATGAGAGCGTTTTAATTCATCCTTCACAGTCGTTGTTTGTACCGCATGCTCAGATCTGTGGGGATGTTATCAATCTGCGACTGTGGGTATGGGTATGGGGGAGGTAACTCACATTAATGTGCCAGTGCTTTTTTCTGACGACCTGGATGCCAAAAGGCTGTTTGTTGACTTGGACAGTGTACAGTCTCTTGGTCTCATCTGTCTCTGGGGTGGAGGGGACATTAAGGGGGACAGGAACCTCATATCGCTTATTATTAGGGTCATAGATCTAGAGTGGGACAGAGACCGAGAGAGACAGAGAGAGAGAGAGAGAGAGAGAGAGAGAGAGAGAGAGAGAGAGAGAGAGAGAGAGAGAGAGAGAGAGAGAGAGAGAGAGAGAGAGAGAGAGAGAGAGAGAGAGAGAGAGAGAGAGAGAGAGAGAGAGAGAGAGAGAGAGAGAGAGAGAGAGACAGAGAGAGAGAGAGCGATGAGTGCCATGTTACACTTACTGAGTCATTTTAATATGTCAGCCATAAGAGGGAACCTTAAACTGCAGTAGGTGTGCACTGTGGTATTTGATCTCCACTCTGAGAGTGCTTATGTCCGGAGATTCCGGTCTTCCGCTGCTCCGGAGCTTAGCGTTCCGTGTGATGTCGAAGCTCCAGCCGGAAGGTTGCTCTGTCACCGTGGTAGCGGTGTAACCATAGTCCTCAGGGTAGTAACACCACGGGACGCCTTCAATGCTAGATATCTGGTCAGGAGAGAGTATCAACATAGGTGTTTTGATTAAATACCTTTGGAGGAACTGAGTGCATGTGTGTGTGTGTGTGTGTGTGTGTGTGTGTGTGTGTTTGCGACCCACCTCCCAGATGCAGCCCCTGGCCTTACACTTGGTCTCGTCACCGTTGGGCTCTGGGTAGCAGTCAAAGCGCGGGGTCTCTGGCATGACATTGTCCCATCGCACGGTGTAGTTCTGACCCAGGATCAGATCCAAACCTCTCAGATACAACACCTAGGACCAAGAGAGGAGGGGGGAAGTTTAAGGAAGGGGGAGGTAGGTGAGAGAGGGGGAGAAATGGAGGGGGACAAAAGGGGGAAGGGGGGGGGTTGAAGGGGGGAGGGTTTAGTGAAAGGGGGGAATAGGTTTTAAGGGGACCCCGAGGGGAGAGGGGAGGGGTTGAAAGCGTAGGGGGTGGAAAACGGGGGCAAAGGGGGGAGGGGGGGGTAAAGGAAAGGGGGGTAGGTGAAGAGGGGGGAGAAGGTTTAGAGGGGGACAAAGAGGGAGAGGGGGAGGGGGAAGGAAGGGGAGGTGGGGACAAGGGGGGGAGCGGATGGGGGGGGACAAAGGAGAGAAGGTATATTTAAAAGCAAAAACACTGATTTTTGGTATATGGCTAAGGGCGTTCTTATCCAAACCCCAACCCCCAGAGTGTCTGTATACCCTTTGCCGTGGTATTTGGTTAATTTTCCCCAACAACCCCTTTTCCATATGTGGTTCCAACCCCTAATTTAAAAAATAAAATACATTTTGGCTACCAGTGGGACACGGTCCCGACTACACCATACCAAAAGTATGTGGACACGTGCTCGTAGAACATCTCATTCCAAAATCATGGGCATTAATATGGAGTTGGTCCCACCTTTGCTGCTATAACAGCTTCCACTCTTCTGGGAAGGCTTTCCAATAGATGAGGTCGGGCACTGATGTTGGGCAATTAGGCCTGCCTGCAGTCGGCGTTCCAATTTGTTCCAATTCATCCCAAAGGTGTTCGATGGGTCAGGGCTCTGTGCAGGCCAGTCAAGTTCTTCTACACCGATCTCGACAAACCATTTCTGTATGGATCTCGCTTTGTGCGCGGGGGCATTGTCATGCTGAAACAGGAAAGGGCCTTCCCCAAACTGTTGCCACAAAGTTGGAAGCACAGAATCATCTAGAATATCATTGTATGCTGTAGCATTAAGATTTCCCATCACTGGAACTAAGGGGCCTAGCCCGACCATGAAAAACAGCCCCAGACCATTATTCCTCCTCCACCAAACTTTACAGTTGTCACTATGCATTCGGGCAGGTAGCGTTGTCCTGGCATCCGCTAAACCCAGATCCATCCGTCGGACTGCCAAATGGTGAAGCGTGATTCATCACTCCATAGAACGTGTTTCCACTGCTCCAGAGTCTAATGGCAGTGAGCTTTACACCATTCCAACCAACGCTTGGCATTACGCATGGTGATCTTAGGCTTGTGTGCGGCTGCTCGGCCATAGAAACCCATTTCATTAAGCTCCCAAAGAACAGTTATTGTGCTGACGTTGCTTTCAGAGGCCATTTGGAACTCGGTAGTGAGTGTTGCAACCGAGGACAGACGATTTTTATACGCTACGCGCTTCAGCACTTGCCGGTCCCGTTCTGTGAGCTTGTATGGCCTACCACTTCGCAGCTGAGCCGTTGTTGCTCCTAGACGTTACCACTTCACAATAACAGCACTTACAGTTGACCGGGGCAGCTCAATCAGGGCAGAAATGTTACAAATTGACTTGTTGGAAAGGTGGCATCCTATGAGCTCTTCAATAAGGCCAGTGTTTGTCTATGGAGATTGCATGGCTGTGTGCTCGATTTTTTATACCTGTCAGCAACGAGTATGGCTGAAATAGCCGAATCCACTCATTTTGAAGGGGTGTCCACATACTTGTGTATATATAGTGAACCGTCGCTTTCAGCCAATCAGCATTCAGGGCTCAAACCACCCAGTTTATAATAGTCTTTATAAAGTAAAATGCGCATTTATTATAGAATGTGTGAAAGGAAGGCAGGCCATCCAGTCCTTCACAGTTTATAAGGTTAGAGGCTGATGGAAATGACAGACACACCTGTGTTTAGCCTCAAAGCCACTTCATCCTTAATAAATCACCTACCACTCATTTGATATGTGTGTTTGAGTGTGTCCTCATTGCTCCCAGCGAGACCTTGGACACACACACGTATGAATACATGTGCGCTTGCACTTGAACCGACATACATACAGTCACACACACACACACACACACACACACACACACACACACACACACACTCTCTCCCTCTATCACTCCCCAGTACAGAGACTTCCTCCTGACAGGTTATACTGTAGGTAAGCCTGATCTGTCAGTCAGAGACATATCTAACACTTTCATCCATACATACCTACCATGTTAGGAGCTACCTCTATCCTGACCATAATGTTGAACAATTACCTCCATATCTTCCTCTGGAAGACTAACCTTGAACTGTTAATGTGACTTCCCCCTCCTTATTGAAAAGAAGGATATTAATTTATCCTCGTGTACTGCTTATGTTGGGCATTGTATCTCTGTACTACTGTATCTCACTAAGGTAAGATGGATACAGAAAGAAAGGACTGATGGGGGATAGGTCGTTCTCTCTTGTTGGGTAGCAACAGCAGTGACGGCCTTGGTTACCTGCTTGTTGGTGTCATATTCTAAAGGATGTACGATGACGTTGCTGCCGGTGGTAACACTGACAGTCATGGGACGACTGGAGACTCCCAGCACGGTGATGTTCTCAAACTTCAGGTTGTTAGGGTCACTGTACCCAGAATGCATCACCTGGATGGTCAACACGCCCTGTAGAGAGAGAACATACAGGAGGAGTAGGATGAGGTTGCACCCAGACATAAGGTCAAATTTGCATTGTTTTGGTATTATAAATAACATCTACTTACATTGTTAGCAGAGAACTGGTAGTGCATGTAGTTGCCAGTCTCAACGGTTTTCTGAGAGAGAGAAGAGAGAGAGAGAGAGAAGAGAGAGAGAGAGAGAGAGAAGAGAGAGAAGAAGAGAGAGAGAGAGTGAGAGAGATAGAAGAGGAGAGGAGCGAGAGTAGAGAGGAGCGAGAGAGCAGAGAGAGAGAGATATACAACGAGAGAAAGGATACAGAGAGAAGAGAGAGAGAGAGAGAGCGAGGAGATAGATCCAGTATATCTAGACAGAGAGATGAGATAGAATCGAGAGAGAGCTATCCGATAGATCTCTTCTATATCTATAAGAGGCTAGAACTATAGATATACAATAGAGAGATACAATCGAGATAGAGAGCTGGAGACAGTATATCTCTAGCGGAGATCCGAGAGGAGAGAGGGAGAGATCTAGATCGATCTATACCTAGAGAGATCGAGAGAGAGATTCCAGAGATATCGAGATCAGAGTAGATAGCATGATAGATAGATCCCGAGAGCAGAGAGAGACGAGAAGCGATACAGACGATATAGAAAGAGAGATTATAAGATTAGATAGATAAGATATAGATCGACTACAGATAGAGAGATAAAGAGAGATGAGCGATGAGACAGAGAGATGCTAGAGAGAGAGAGAGAGAGCGGAGATAGCGAACGATAGAGAGATAGAACGTAGATTATAGTTTAATCACTAATCAGCATTCTCGTACAAATGACCTTTGGTGCAGTCCATCTTTATCCCAGGTAGTCTCATCACCGCTAAACATCATTACTTTATATAATTTTACCATGTGGTTCAAAACTGTATTTTGTGGCCCAAACCCAGTAAAGTAATTGACCTCCATACTGAGCAGTGTGAATGGGCTACCATGATAGATTGTACGACTGAAGTCTAACTCTTCCCATGATAACAGTTTCTCTGGGTGAAATTATAGAGACAAAGTAGATGATACGATTCCCTATGGCAGAACGGGATGCAGGTCCTGTAGACATACACACAAACAAGTATGTACATAAACACACACACATACTCACACACGTAGACACACATGTACACGCTGACTAACTCCATCTGACTTTGTAGAAATACCTCGAGAGTCTCCGTCATCCCAGAATAGCTCTCCTGCTGCTGTGTTGTTGTCGTCGAGCGCAACGATCAGACCCATGGGGTTACGCCGACTGAGGGGAACACACACACATACGTCACAACTTTTTCAAGGAACTAAAATAAAAAGGGAAATGAACCCCTTTGAAGTTGTTTATGAATATGTATAAGCTGGGTGGTTCGAGCCCTGAATGCTGATTGGCTGAAAGCCGTGTTATATCAGACAGTATACCATGGTTATGACAAAACAATAATTTGTACTATTCTAATTACGTTGGTAACCATTTTATAATAGCAGACACAGTATACTTAAGCAATAAGGACCTCGGGGGTTTGCGGTATATATGGCCAACATACCACGGCTAAGGGCTGTATCCAGGCATTCCTCTGGCCTTCTTGTGCTTAAGTATACTGTGCATGCCCGTGCAATCATTCGTGGGGTGTGTGTACCTGTAAACAGTTGTGACCGCAGGTCTCTGAATAGGTAGAATAGCTCCGCCCCTGATGTGTAAACCAAGCTTGTCTGCAGGCAGGTACATCTCAACATGCTGCTTACGGGCTGTAAATCGCACTTCCTGATTGGTCAATGGGAAAATAATCAACTAGTTGAACAGTACGACATAATGCATGCTGGGCAAGAGAAAGGGCAGAATAATATGCAGTAAATGTACCTCTATTGAAGAGAGAGATGGAGTGAGAGGTTGAGAGATTATTGTCCTAATGTCCCCTTGCCTATCTCTGTCCATGGAGGGTATTCCTCATTCTCACACTTACACACTACAGCAGCTCAAAGCAAAATTCCAAACCTCAGTTAATTTCTAACACCCTAAGGACGGAATGTTCAGACCAGCCCAGGACAATTTAGAGCTCCTCTCTCTCTTCTCTCTCTCTCTCTCTCCTCTCTCTCTCTCCCTCTCTCTCTCTCTCTCTCTCTCTCTCTCTCTCTCTCTCTCTCTCTCTCTCTCTCTCCTCTCTCTCTCTCTCTCTCTCTCTCCTCTCTCTCTCTCCTCCTCTCCTCCTCTCTCTCTCTCTCTATTCTATATTCTCCATCTGGGATGTGGGGGTAGAGAGAGAGCAGGGAGTCACTGGAGCGTCTAGAAGTAATTTCAGATCTTATCGCCTCATTGTCAGTGCTAAGGAGGGCTCCACTTCTGCCCCTCCTCCACTCTCCCCCTCCTCCTCATTCCTCTTATCCTCTCCTCTCATTTTGTCTTCTCTCCTCCCTTTTACTCCCCTCTCATCCATCGTCTCTCCTGTTCCCCTCCTCCAACGTCTCTCCTCCTGTCCCTCTCCTCTCCTCCATCGTCTCTCCTCCTGTTCCTCTCCTCTCCTCCAACATCTCTCCTCCTGTTCCTCTCCTCTCCTCCAACGTCTCTCCTCCTGTTCCTCTCCTCTCCTCCAACGTCTCTCCTCCTGTTCCCCTCCGTTTTTTCCCCCTCTTTTCATCTCGCCTTCTTTCCTCTCCCTGTCAGGTACCTTTTTTTTCTCCTAATTGATTGCACCGCACCCAATCCTCTTCCCGCCCCCCCTAACCCCAGGGGACCAACCAGGACAAGGCCCAGCAGCGAGGCAACCAATCTAAACTCTCATCTGATCAGAAGCTCTTTACACAGCTGTATGACGCCCAAATAAGCTCCCGCAGGATCTCAACACCTCTTTAATCTATGAGACAGGGAGATTCTCTCTCTAGTCACTCTGTCCGTCTTCCTACAGCTTTCCTCTGTATCTCTCTCTCTCTCTGTATCTGAATGAAATAGTACAGCAGTGGTTCTCTTCTCCGGTGTACTTTGTGTAAAGGTCTTGTAAATAGTCTACTCCTTATTCATGTCTTTCTAGGCAGGAAGCAGAAGGTAGTAGACAGGAAGCTCACCGTTTCATAGTCAAACCATACAGCGTCTGGGACATAGGCTTGGATGTACTCCACCCCCTGCAGAAATAAACCAATCACACATCAGCAAGGGCAAAACAAACAACAATTGAGGTAATTGGTTGAGCACACTTCTTACTATTTCTCTCCACACAACATGGCCAATCCAAAAAACAAAACAGTCTTGGAAATGTTCCAACCGTTTAGAGTATCTGGGTTTTATTAAAGTTATGCAGGCATCACTACTGGATCTGGGTTCACTGACAATCAAAAGCATTTGTAACAAAGGGATGGCGAAGGCAGCATCAACAGATGGACAATGGCCTTTGATGATTGTAGGGCGACAGACAGGAGTAATCGATAACCGAGCGGCAGTCCTTTGATAGAGCTGTCGTGGCTGTGTTCACTGTCCTGCTGACAGACTGGAACACAGAGAGAACAGAGAGAGAAAAAGAGAGAACAGAGTAGAAACAGAGAGAAAGAAAAGAGGGAACACAAGAATAGAGAGAAAGAGAATGATGTGTCCTTTTCAAGCAGAGCGATAGAAAAGCATGCCGTCTGTGAACATCTCCCGTTCTCCTCTATCTAACATTAAAGCCATCGCTGACACCATCACTCATCCACTCATTTGTTCCATTGGCCTGCCTTGTCCTCTTTCATGTTCTACAGAACCCTGTCATCTGGGATCTGAGAGAGGCCATTAAAGGAGGAGGAGAAATAAGGAATGGACACAAGTGGTCAAGAAGAAGAAGTTTCAAGTTTCAAGTTTTATTAGTCCTATGTACAGTAGGGGATATGCATGTCATACACAATCCAACAAAATGCTTACTTGCAGGTTCCTTTTCGACAATGCAACAACAAAAATAAATAGTAAAAAATAAGAAAACAAACATAAAGTAAATGGCAGTAGAATAGAATAAACATTTTAGCATCAGTATAATACAGAAAGGTACAATTTATAGTCAGAAATATACATGTGTATTGTGTAAGGGGGGCGGGGGGGGGCAAGTGTAGAAGAAGAAGAAGAAGAAGAAGAAGAAGAAGAAGAGAAGAAGAAGAAGAAGAAGAAGAAGAAGAAGAAGAAGAAGAAGAAGAAGAAGAAGAAGAAGACTTCCATGGTCATTATAATGCTGAATTGAGTAACACAGAATTGTAATTTTTCTCATATTCCAGGAAATCACCATCTTCTCCCACCAGTGAAAACCCTCAGACATGATCCAGGTGAATGATAGCTGCGATCTGCACATCGCTTACTGCTGTCTGACTCATTCATAGCTAGCATCAGTCAGCAGCTTGACTAATGTAGAGGGACTGCTAACGCTAGCATTAATCCTAACAGTAATTGAAAGGGACAGAGAGCTCTATCCTCATTTGGAGTGATGAGGCATGTTGACCAGAGGGAAGATCTGAACCTGGGCTCAACACTCATAAGGGCACATTGGTCTCAGGTTAGAGTGATACCACTAAATATTATGAGAGAGCAAAAGGAAGAGAGGGTGGATATATAATGCAGAAAGAGAGAGGGTAGGTGGATATATTTTTTTTTATTTTTTGTCATTTAGCAGACGCTCTTATCCAGAGCGACTTACAGTTAGTGAATACATTTTTATTTTTTATTTTTTTTATACTGGGCCCCCCTTGGGAATCGAAACCCACAACCCTGGCGTTGCAAACGCCATGCTCTATCAACTGAGCTACATCCCTGCCAGCCATTCCCTCCCCTACCCTGGACGAATTGTGCGCCGCCCATGAGTCTCCCGGTCGCGGCCGGCTGCGACAGAGCCTGGATTCGAACCAGGATCTCTAGTGGCACAGTTAGCACTGCGAAGCAGTGCCTTAGACCACTGCGCCACTCAGGAGACAGCGATATATAATGCAGAAAGATAGAAAGAGGGTAGGGGAGAGAGGGTGGATATATAATGCAGAAAGATAGAGAGACAGGAAAAGAGGGAGAATAGATAGATACAGAGAAAAAAGAGAGAGAGAGAGAGAGAGAGAGAGATAGAGAGATAGATATACGAGAGATCGAGCTAGATTCGCGCTAGTCGAGTAGCGATGCATCTAATATTAAATACCGAAGCACGGGAGATGATTTTCCAGAGGTTGAGATTGTGCTTGATTAAGATAATTCAATGATAGGAGCTTCTTTTGAAGCAGGGCTTCTTACCTACAACAACAAAGATGAATCGCTGGAACACGAAACGAGTTCAGGACGAGTGCGGAGCGGTATTGTGGCTTGGGGTTGACAGATCTTCTATCTCCTCCCAGTCTATCATCTGGAGAGCAAGAGGCTCTGTAGACTCCCCAGATTTTCCAAGCGCCGGAGAGATCATAGGTTCAGAGATCCATGTGATCTTAACTTAGACCCTAACATCATAACAGAGAGAAGGAGAGGAGAGAGTTATGGACTTCCTTTCGCGCGTCCGCCCTCTCTGTTCTTTCGCGCTCGCTCTGCGCTTCGCTCTCTCTTCTTCATTGCGTGCTTATCTCTCTCTCCCTCGGCCTCTCTCTCGCGCTCTCTCGCTCGCGCGCTCTCTCCTTCGCGCCTCTCTCCTCGCGCAGCAGTCTTCCTCGCTCTACGCGAGCGCGCGCTCGCGCGCCCCCCCCCCCCTGTCGGCTGTCCTCCCTTCCGGTCTCGCTGGGTGCTCTCCTCTACCTGCCGGCCGCTCGCGCCGGGGCCTGCTGTCCCCCGCGTTGTCGGGTCGCGGCGCGGGGGCTGTCTCCTTGCGGCCGCTGTGCGCGGGTCTGGTCGCGCGGGTGGCCTCTCATTGGCGCAGCTCGCGCGCTGTTCGATGCTGCGCGGGTGTTCTCTCTCCTGGCGGCCCTCGCGCGCTTGTCGGTCGTCGCGTTTTGCTATCTCCTTTCGTCCGCTCTCTCGCTGGTCCTGCTTTCCGTTGTCCGGTGTCGCGCGGATGCTCTCTCCTGGCCGGCCGCCCGCGCGCGGGTCGGGTTCTCGACGGGTGGCTCTCTCCGGCGGCCGCTCGCGCGCGTCGGGTCGTCGCCGGGTAGGCTCTCTCCCTAGGCGCGCCGCCCGCTCGCGGTCGCTGTCCCGCTGTCGGGTCCGCGGGTGGGCTCTCTCCTGCGGCCTCTCTCGCGGCGCGGTCGTTCGGCGCGGGTGTCTCTACTCCTGGCGGCCGCCCCAGCCTCGCGGGTCGGGGCCGGCGCGGGTTGCCTTATCTCCTGGCTGTCCCTCCCTCGTCGGGTCTGGCGGCCGCCGGGTGTCTTCTACGGGCGGCCGCCCTCGCGCGGGTCCGGTCGCGCCGGTGGCCTGTCTCTGGCGGCCCTAGCTCCCGCGGGTCTGCGCCCGGGTGGCTCCTCTCCTGGCGGCAGCTCGCGCTCCGGAGTCGGCGTCTTTCACGTTCTGACTTTTCAGAGGGTTTCTCTCTCTGTCGCTCGTCCTCTCGCCCTGGTCCTGGTCCCTCCCTCGGGTTGTGCTCTCTCCCTTTCGGCCTCTCGCGCTCTTGGCTGTTCTGTTTCCTCTTGTTTTCTCCATTCTTTCTTCCTCCCTCGCGCGGTGTCGGGCTGCGCCGGTGTCTCTCTCCTTGCGTCCTCTCGATTCGCCTCGGGTCGTTGTCTGCCGCTTTTTTTCTTCTCTCGCTTGCTGCCTCCAGCGCTCGGGTCTGTTCTCGCGGAGTGGCTCTCTCCTGGCGTTCCGCCCGCTCGGCGGGTTCGTTCGTGAGCTGGTTTGACTCTCTCCCTGGGCCCCCCCAGGGGTCTTCCGCGCCCTCTCTCTGTTCTTGTCTCGCTGTTGTTGTGCTCTCTCCTGGCGTCCGCCCAGCGCGCGGGTCGGTGTCTACGCCGCTGTGCTCTCTCCTTGGCGGCCGCCCTCGCGCTTGGTCCGGCCCGCGGGTGGCTCCTCCGCGGCATCCCGCTAGCGGGCGGGAGGCGCGGTGTCTCCGGACCGCTCTGTCTCAGCCTCCAGTTATTTATGCTGCAGTAGTTTATGTTTCTGGGGCTGGGTTCTTGGTTATAACTGGATACTTCTCCTGTCTATCCAGTGTCCTGGGTGAATTTAAGTATGCTTCTCTCTACTTCTCTCGGTCTCTCTTTCTCTCTGAAACCTGAGCTAGCCCAGAAACGTCAGGACGACCGGCATGGAGGAAACACTTTGCTGTCCCCATCGCCGGGGGGCCTTGCGGCTATGCAGTGTTCAACGGTTCTGCCTGCGGGTAACGAAAACCCCTACCTGTCCCAGACATGCGGTTTTCAACTCTAATGATCGGCGATGAAAGCCAACTGAAGACCACTGAGCCTAGGACCATACGATCGAGAACTTTAAACCGGCCGTGGTGACTCTTGCTGTCCCCAGTCCGCCTGGCCTTGCTGCTATTCCATTTCAACTGTTCTGGCCTGCGGTTATGGAACCCCTACCTGTCTCAACCTGCTTGTTTTTTCACCTGCTTAATGACGACTATAAAAGCCAACTGAGATTTATTCCTGATTATATTTGACCATTCTATCACTTATGAAACATTTTTGAACATCTTGGCATGGTTTCTGTTATAATCTTTCCTTCAACCCGGCACAGCCGAAGAGGACTGGCCACCCCTCATAAGCCCTGTTCCTCTCTAGGTTTCTCTATCTTCCTAGTTTTTTTTTCGCCTTCTAGGATTTTTCCCTTGCCACCCGTGCTTCTACAACCTGCATTACTAGCTGTTTGGGTTTTAGGCTGTTTCTGTACAGCACCTACGAGATATTACTGATGTAAGAAGAGCTATATAAATTAAAATTGATTGACATTGCTTTGATATATACTGGCGGAAGATAGTATAGGGTAAGGGAGGAAGAGGGTGGGATATATAATGGAGGAAGATAGAGAGAGGGTAGGATGTAAAGCTGTAGGGTAGAGAGGGGTGGATATATAATGGAGGAAGATAGAGAGAGGGTAGGGAGCGATGGTGGCTCTATAATGGCGGACGATCTCTAGCGGGTCGGGCGGAGCGGGTTGATCGATATGGAGGACGCATAGAGGAGAGGTAGGGTAGAGAGGTTGGATATTAATGTTGCTGAATGACCGAGAGAGGGTATTCGTGATCACGCTGTAGGGGTAGAAGGGTGGGCTGTATATGGCGCCGCTCGCGACAGCGGTAGGGCGTAGCGGTTGATGTATCTGGCGGACTCTCAGCAGCCGGGTCGGCCCAGCTGAGGTGTACATATCTACTGTGGCGCCGCTCGCGGCGGGTCTGTGCGGCGCAGGTGGCTATTACTGGCGGCCGCGCGCGGCGGGTCGGTCGCTACGGTTGGCTCCCTCTCCTGGCGGCCGCTCGCGCGCGGGCGGGCCGCTCGGGTGGCTCCTCCTGGCGCCTCTCGCTCTCGTGTCCTGGAGTCGCGGGTGCTCTCTCCTGGAGGCCCTCGCGCCCGGGGGTCGGGCGGCGCGGAGTTGCTCTCGCCTGGCGCCCCCCCCGCTCCTCGCGGGGTCGGTCGCGGCGGGTGGCTGTCCCTGGCGGGCCGCTGCGCGCGGGCCGGCCCTCGCGTGTGCGCTCTCTTCCCTGGCGCACGCTCGCGGCCAGGTTCGTGAGGAGCAGGGTGGATCTCAGCTGGCTGTGCCGATACGAGTAGTGGTTGGTTGCGAGGGTGGCTGTACCTAAATGGAGGCTCTAGAGAGAGGGTAGACCCGCGGGTGGATTCTAATGGCGAAGATCGGAGAGGTCAGGCGGAGAGGGTGGCTATATCATGGAGGCCCTCGCGCGCCGGGTAGGGTCGCGCGGGTTGCTCTCTAATTGGCGGCCATTCGCGCGCGGTCGGGCCGGTCGCGGGTGGCTCTCTCCTGGGGTCAGCTCGCGCGCGGGTCGGCCGCGCGGGTGGCTCTCTCCCTGCGGCCTCTCCGCTCTGGTCGTGCGCGCGTGGTGGCTCTCTCCTGGTCGTCCGCTCGACGCGCGTGTCGGGTCGATAAGGGTGGATTTCATAATGGCGGAATATACGAGAGAGGGTAGGATGTAAAGCAGTAGATTGACGAAGTAATAAACAGTATCCAGAATCTATAAGAACCAACAAAGAACACGCTCTTTCACATAAGTTATGTATTGATGTCAATAAACAACTTATTACATATGTCTGAATTATTACATAACGTTTGATTTAATTTTTGGGATGACATCCTCTCTGCATCCCCAAGGAGAAGTCAAGCTCGGGGGTGACAGCCTCAACATCTTCTTCTTTCTCTCTGCTAGCATAGCAAACTTTTCACAATTACACTCTGATTACAGTTATTATATTCAGACTAGAGCCCCACTCTGCTTGTCTCTAATTTGCCAGAGGCCATGCTAAATTGCTCATTAATCAGCTAGCCACTTTAACATGACCGCAATCTATCTGCACTCGCACACACACAGACACACACACACACACACACACACACACACACACACACACACTCATGCAAATATACACTGACATACGCACACACACAAACACAGACGCACACACACTCATATACACAAATGCGTACACACAAACTCTTCTGCGCGCACACAAACACTATTGCGTGCGCACACACACACACACACACACACACACACACACACACACACACACACACATACATACATACACAATGTAACTGTACTTCTAATCTGCCTGTAATGAGGTCAGTGCTCTCATTAGAGCGGAGGGAAAATAGGGGGAAATGAAAGAGAAGAGAGAGAAAGGGAGGAGAGGGAGGAAGAAAAGTAAATCCCATTTGCTTGTCCCAACGGAGGTCAACTAGTGTGTGTGTGTGTGTCTGTCTGTGTGTGTTAAGAGAGAGATATCTCCTCTCAAGGGGTTTATCCAGCCAATAGTTTTTTAGATAAATCAAATGAAATGTGAAGTAGTGTGTGTGTGTCGTAGTATCGAACTGAGCTAAAGCTTAGTTCACCGAGCCTGCTCAAGTACATGTACTCACAGGATCCAGTACAGGTGTGATGAGCAGGTGTTTCCCCCAGAGGAACTGGCGGTCCACTGTCCAGGTGTTACTGTCAGAGTAGAACCTGGAAGACGGACAGAAGGGGGGGGGAATTGATGCGGACTGATCAATGCTTGTTTTTGTAACATCAATGCTTTGTTTACAACAAAAAAAAGTTGCCTCTACACTATGATCAGCTGGGTCAGTGTTGTTCCTTATGGACTTGATGAAGATGGTGGTATTCCTAGATCTGAGCCTGGGAGGAACTGCTACCCGATCAACAGGAAGTAACGTCACTTACTCGTGCATGACGGGCCGGACCACGGTGTCCCCTGTAGTGTGAGCCTTGTAGAAGAGGGTGTAGAGGTAGGGCAGCAGGGTGTACCGGATATTCAGGTAATGTTTAGAGGTATTCAACAGCAGTGAGTCAGCACCAAACACTGCCGGGTCCTGGGGCTGAAGGGAGGGAAGGAAGGATGGAGGGAGAGTAGGGAGGGGAGGAGAGAAGGGGAGGGAGAGAGGGGAGGGGAGGAGAGAGGAGAAGGACGAGAGGGGAGGGGAGGAGAGAAGGGACGAGAGAGAGGGGAGGGGGGAGGAGGAGAAGGGAGGGATAGAGGGGAGGGGAGGAGAGAAAGGGAGGGATAGAGGGGAGGGGAGGGTGGAGAGAAGGGAGGGAGAGAGGGGAGGGGAGGAGAGAAGGGAGGGAGAGAGGGGAGGGGAGGAGAGAAGGAAGGGAGAGAGGGGAGGGGAGGAGAGAAGGGAGGGAGAGAGAGGGGGAGAAGGGAGGGAGAGAGGGGAGGGGAGGAGAGAAGGGAGGGATAGAGGGGAGGGGAGGAGAGAAGGGAGGGAGAGAGGGGGGGAGGGGAGGAGAGAGGAGGGATAGAGGGAAGGGGAGGGTGGAAGAGAAGGGGGGAGAGAGGGGAGGGGAGGAGAGAAGAGAAGGGAGGGATGGAGGGGTGGAGAGAAGAGAAGGGAGGGAGAGGGGAGGGGGGGGGGAGAGAAGGGAGGGAGAGAGGGGAGGGGAGGAGAGAAGGAGGGATAGAGGGGAGGGGAGGGGTGGAGAGAAGGGAGGGAGGAGGAGAGGGGAGGGGAGGAGAGAAGGAAGGGATAGAGGGGAGGGGAGGAGGAGGAAGGAAGGGATAGAGGGGAGGGGTGGAGAGAAGGGAGGGAGAGAGGGAAAGGAGGAAGGGGGAGGGAGGGATTTATCACCACCATGATGACACTTAGCAATCAACAACAACACACTCAACAGGTGAGTGAATAGGAAGAGCAGAGAGGGAGAAAGAGGTGACTTCCAGTTGAAGAGAGAGAGAACACATAAAGAAACCAGGCCAGAGAGACAACAGAGACAGAGACAGAGAAAGGAAACATAAAAAAAAAACTAATTGTGGAGTAGATGATTAGCTGCTGAAGGGCTAATCCTTTATGTCCTGAGTGTGTGTGTGTGTGAGTGTGTGTGTGTGTGTGTGTGAGAGTGTGTGTGTGAGTCGAGGACTTTGGCCTGTTTGGCCTTCTGATGAGAGAAGTGATTAGGGCAACACAAAGGTCAAACATTATCCATCTCATTTAGTGTCATCAACATATCCTGTCTGCCAGTAGAAGGCATCTCTCTCTCTCTCTATCTCTCTCTCTCTCTCTCTCTCTCTCTCCCCTCCTCTCTCCCGCTCGCTATTTCTCCCAACTCTCTCCATATTTTATAAAACCAATGTTGAAAGATTTGCTACTTTTCTCAACAACATTGATGCCCTGAATTTAGCAGGTGCTATCGACAGATTAGTTGGAAAAAGTGATGGGCTACTTTCTGCACACGCCACGGTCAGTGTGAACTGGAGTGACTTGACACAACGCTGGCCAAACAAGAAGTAGCTACAAACAAAACTGAGTTAAATGGTTCCAGTCTGCTGTGAAGCATTCATCCATGTATACGGGTAAGAGTCTAGCTACTTTTTCAGATATAAATTTCCCACCCAAAAAAATCTTGCAAGTTAAAGCGTACTGTTATTTAGGTAGCAAACGGTAGCTTGCTGGCTCGCTAGCTAACGTTACATGTATGGTCTGTGTAGTAATATTATTCGAATCAGAAATCCATTTGCATTTCTAGCTAACATTGAACCTAGTTTGTTAGCTTTAGCTACCTGCAGATTCATAATACAGCTATGACAATGTATATATTGGTAGTAGTATGAGTTGGGATATGCTGGTTTATTGCTTAGCTAGCTAGCTACCTAGCTAGTTACATGTCTAAACAAAAGACCCAACTTCAGCCAGATTATTACATGACCCATCAAATTAGCCAGGTGTGTCTGGGGGTGATTAAGGCCATCTATTGTATTTCATGAACATGTATACAGTGGGGGGAAAATGATTTAGTCAGCCACCAATTGTGCAAGTTCTCCCACTTAAAAAGATGAGAGAGGCCTGTAATTTTCATCATAGGTACACGTCAACTATGACAGACAAAATGAGAAAAAAAATCCAGAATATCACATTGTAGGATTTTTAATGAATTTATTTGCAAATTATGGTGGAAAATAAGTATTCGGTCACCTACAAACAAGCAAGATTTCTGGCTCTCACAGACCTGTAACTTCTTCTTTAAGAGGCTCCTCTGTCCTCCACTCATTACCTGTATTAATGGCACCTGTTTGAACTTGTTATCAGTATAAAATACACCTGTCCACAACCTCAAACAGTCACACTCCAAACTCCACTATGGCCAAGACCAAAGAGCTGTCAAAGGACACCAGAAACAACATTGTAGACCTGCACCAGGCTGGGAAGACTGAATCTGCAATAGGTAAGCAGCATGGTTTGAAGAAATCAACTGTGGGAGCAATTATTAGGAAATGGAAGACATACAAGACCACTGATAATTTCCCTCGATCTGGGGCTCCACGCAATATCTCACCCCGTGGGGTCAAAATGATCACAAGAACGGTGAGCAAAAATCCCAGAACCACACGAGGGGACCTAGTGAATGACCTGCAGAGAGCTGGGACCAAAGTCACAAAGCCTACCATCAGTAACACACTACGCCGCCAGGGACTCAAATCCTGCAGTGCCAGACGTGTCCCCCAGCTTAAGCCAGTACATGTCCAGGCCCGTCTGAAGTTTGCTAGAGTGCATTTGGATGATCCAGAAGAGGATTGGGGGAATGTCATATGGTCAGATGAAACCAAAATAGAACTTTTTGGTAAAAACTAAACTCGTCGTGTTTGGAGGACAAAGAATGCTGAGTTGCATCCAAAGAACACCATACCTACTGTGAAGCATGGGAGTGGAAACATAATGCTTTGGGGCTGTTTTTCTACAAAGGGACCAGGACGACTGATCCGTGTAAAGGAAAGAATGAATGGGGCCATGTATCGTGAGATTTTGAGTGAAAACCTCCTTCCATCAGCAAGGGCATTGAAGGTGAAACGTGGCTGGGTCTTTCAGCATGACAATGATCCCAAACACACCGCCCGGGCAACGAAGGAGTGGCTTCGTAAGAAACATTTCAAGGTCCTGGAGTGGCCTAGCCAGTCTCCAGATCTCAACTCCATAGAAAATCTTTGGAGGGAGTTGAAAGTCCGTGTTGCCCAGCGACAGCCCCAAAACATCATTGCTCTAGAGGAGATCTGCATGGAGGAATGGGCCAAAATACCAGCAACAGTGTGTGAAAACCTTGTGAAGACTTACAGAAAACTTTTGACCTGTGTCATTGCCAACAAATGGTATATAACAAAGTATTGAGAAACTTTTGTTATTGACCAAATACTTATTTTCCACCATAATTTGCAAATAAATTCATTAAAAATCCTACAATGTGATTTTCTGGATTTTTTACCTCATTTTGTCTGTCATAGTTGACGTGTACCTATGATGAAAATTACAGGCCTCTCTCATCTTTTTAAGTGGGAGAACTTGCACAATTGGTGGCTGACTAAATACTTGTTTCCCCCACTGTACATGTCTAGACAATAGTGACCAATCCACTTAGGTAGATGTGGCTGAGGGGTGGTTATAGCATTTCCTTCACATGACCCATCAATTTAGACAAGTGTGTCGGGCAGTGGCAGAAAGAGATGAGATGAGGGAGAATTATTTTATTTTTTTCATGAGCATGGCCTTATTTCTATTACAGCATATTGGATGACTCTCATTCATATTCCATTCACCCAGTTCAATGTAACAGCGATAGTTTTAGGCTATTACATGATACTCAAATTTTCCCTATACCCTTTATGAGGTTGCTACAACCTAGGCTATGAATGAAAGTTTACAACGTAGGTGTACACAGGTCGAGAGACATTTGAAGTGACAAACAGTGACATTAAATACTGCCTTGCACACTCTTGCCAGCATCTAGCTGATATAGGGTGTAATCATTAGTCCAACAGTTGCAAACGAGAGTTTCTATTGGACAAATTCAGGTATGTTTTACCCCCGTTCAGTTCCGTTTGCTTCCGTTTATGAAACATTTTTCAACAGAATTGGTGGAATGAATACACCCCTGATCACACGAGTTCACTCTCATAACAGCCACGTTGTATTCCTTCTCTTCCCTTCGCTTGTGGACTTCAATGCACAACAAATCAGCTGTATGTGACCAGGCAAAAAAAAAACGATACAAGCTAAACCTCTACAAACAGCCTACATAGTTGTCACCATATCAGATAAAGTAACGTCATGAACAGCATAGCTAATAGAACTAACGCGTTAGTAAACCCGTTACAATCATGCAGTAACTTTAGTGTACATGCAGTAACGTTACACTAAGCAGTTACACCGGCGGGCCCCGGTGGCAATCAATTAGTAACACCAAAAGCTTACCTTGACGCAGTGGCGGTTTTACACGGAGGCCGGAGGAGGCCCGTGCCTCCCTGGAAATGTCCCTGGCCACCCCTGTGGCCCCCCCGTGCTGACCAAATAAAAAATTATGAATTTATAACTATTTTACACGCGAGCGCCAAAAGCGGAACTAATGCAACGCTCTACACAGCAACGTTCTACACGGGTAAATTAGAGTGGCGCACCCAAAAACTGTATCCTGCCATCTGCCTGCCTGCCACGTGTGGTGCTGCTTCGGTGAATGAGAGCTCAGCAACTACTATTTGCGAGAGGAGCTATGATTTGCAGGAGTCGAAGGTAAGTAAACGATTTAATATCATAAGTGACTTGTTGTTCTTGCACATAGCCTACATGTTCCTTTTGTTCCTCACACATAAATCAAATCAAGTTTTTAAATGTCTGGTCTCGATTTGTTTAGAAATGTAATCATATCTAAGCAAACTCATCGAAGCAGAAGCAAATATCCAAATGTTAGTAGGCTCTCCTTGCTAGGTCTACACAATGTTGTGATGTTTACCACGTAACTTCATCCGTCTTGGCTGTTGCATCGCGATAACAAATACATTTTTAGTAAAGTAATCAACAGGTTATCTGCCAGTGTTAATTAGGGAGGGATGGTTAGGTAACAAAATGTAATGCATGCCCCTACGTTTTTTCTTCTTCTAATAGTTATCATGAAACGAGGAAGGGACATAAAGTCATTTTTTGCCCCAGCAAACAAAATAGTGAGAGAAACAAATCGAGGTTTTGAGAAAGTTGAGGAAGAGGGAGAGCCAGCATGTGATGAAAGTGAGGGGTCTGACAAAGAGAGGGAAATTCCAGAGGGTGAGGAGGATGAAGAAGAGGGTGAGGAGGATGAAGAAGAGGGTGAGGAGAATGAAGAAGAGGGCGAGGAGAATGAAGAAGAGGGTGAGAAGCATGAAGAAGAAAGCATACAGGGACAGAGAGATGAACAGCCAGAGGGACAGCAAGTGGATCCATGTGGATCAAGTACTGCACCATCAGGTTTGTGATGAGGAAGGTTCTTACTATTTGCAAAGCAATGCAATTACAATGTAATGGTAGGCCTGCTGGGTGTCCTTAAAATGCTGCTTTCTGCTGTTAATTCTTTTTTGTGTCAATATGGCTCTGTTTTTTTTTTAAAGTAAATACTTTGCCTACATTTTGAAATACATGCAGATATACAGTAAATAAATGTTGTAGTTGTGCCCTATGTTTACTGTCCATCTTCTTCAGATATCAGCAAGTCTAAGTATGACGTACCAGTACAGCCGAACTTGAAGATATTCCCAACCACACTGATGGGGGACAGAAGACGAAGCTTCAGACCAAACTGGTACACTACTCATCCATGGCTTGAGTATTCTGTAATGACGGACTCTACATGTTGCTATGCATGTAGACATTTTAGCACACCAAATGCCCCAGACACCGTTTTTGTTTCAACACCTGGTTTTACAAACTGGAAAAAGGCAACTATGAGAAATGCAGGGTTTTCACTACATGCAAAGTCTGAACGACACAAGTGTGCAATGATCGCATGGAGGGATTATCAAAGAGCTGTTAGAACTGACGCAACACTAACAGATCTCCTTGACAAAGAACACACTAAACAAGTACAAGAAAATCAGGCATACATTAAAACAGTTGGGGAAGTGCTGTTGCTTACAGCTACACAAAACATAGCACAAAGAGGACATGATGAATCTGAAGGGTCCACTAACAAAGGAAACTTTAGGGAAATTCTTAACACAGTTGCTAACCACGACCAAGTGAGCGATTGCTTACTTCCCTTTCACTCTTAAAAAATTACTGAAAAAAAATGTGTATAAAAAGGTATATGTAGTATATGTTTGTTTAGTGAGCATTCATGCTGTCATTTTTTCCTAATGTGAACTATGGTGGAAATGTGCTGTCCTAAATGGACTTGCCCATATATGTTGTAAAGCCTTTTTTTGTACACCTGCTCATCAACTGACAGTGAAGTACACAAAGACACAGACACACACACACACACACACAGACACCTGTAATATTCTTGTTTTCATGTTGTTGCTGATATCCATCAGTGTTGTTCATATTGCTACATTGTGTTGACATGATTGTTGCTTTTAAACGAATGTTAACTTAATGTTTATTGTCTGCATCCTATTGGACTACTGGATGTTAATGTGTAACACGTTTCCCTGTTTATGTGCTTTAGCAATACTGTATGTCAATATGGTCATGCTAGTAAAGCCTCTTTGAATTGAATTTCTTTTCTGATTTGGTTTATTTTACCTAAATGGATACAGGGTAGTGTGTTTTGTTTATAAATCACTCAGAAAGTTTTCTTTCTTAAAACAAAATGTGGAATCAACTGTCCACAGTAGTGGGGCTTCCATGAATAGGAAATGGCACATTGTTGTACCCTTTGTTGTATCCTGGAGTTTTGTTCACATTGAATATGAACCCTGTATTTGTACCCTGTACTTTTTAATTTTTTTTAATTTATTTATTTTTTCATTTTTATGGCACTATCTCTCTTGCATCTGCACTCTTGTACAAAATATGTGTTATAATAAATGTCATATGATTTTAAAGTAAAATAAAGTTTATAATCTTTGAATATCATGTGTTGCCAGTTTTTTTATGTGTGCCCCCCTGATTAAACACTGGCCCCTCCTTGGCCCCCCTAGTAAAATGTGTCTAGAACCGCCACTGCCTTGACTTGGAAGAGTTCCAGTGTTGTGCTGGAAAGTCATAGCCAGCTAGCTAACATAGCGTCCCTCTGTTTGAGCAGGGTGTTTCAGTAGGCTAAACTAGCTATCTGCATTTGCTAGCTAAGTAAGTGAAACTGAAAGTGAAAAACATTTACAAACTCTTTCTCTCTTGCTCTATTTCTCTCTTGCTTCTCCTTCATTTTTGGAATACATTATTTTTTTCAAAACTGTTCAACTATTGTCTTTCTCTCTCTTTGAGTCAACTACTCACCACATTTTATACACTGCAGTGCTGGCTAGCTGTAGCTTATGATTTCAGTACTCGATTAATTCTCTGATCCTTTAATTGGGTGGACAACATGTCAGTTTATGTTGCAAGAGCTCTGATAGGCTGGAGGACGTCCTTCGGAAGATGTCGTAATTACTGTGTAAGTCTATGGAAGGGGGTGAGAACCATGAGCCTCCTAGGTTTTGTATTGAAGTCAATGTATCCAGAGGAGGATGGAAGCTAGCTGTCCTCTGGCTACACCATGGTGCTATCCTACAGAGTGCTGTTGAGGCTACTGCTGACCTTCTTTGCAAAATAGTGTCTTTTAATCAGTTATTTGGTGACGTGATTATATTTAGTATAGTTTTATATAAAAAGGATAACTTTTTTAATGTTTTACCATTTTAATTCGAATGAAATTCACTGAGGAGGATGGTCTTCCCCTTCCTCCTCTAATAATGATAAAATATGTATAAAATATGTAAGTAACCACTTCACTGTCCCGTTTACACCTTCTGTATCCTGTGCATATGACAAATAAACTTTGATTTGATTTGATATAGCGTGTGTTTACCACATTGCCTCACTTGTGAATCCTTAAAGAGATGGGTGGGGCTAAGGCTTACGAAGGTGTGAACGATGCTGAATGGGTGTAGACAAAGAAGAGCTCTCCAGTAGGTGTACCAAAACATTCAAGGGCCATTTTCTCAAAAGTTGGTTACAAGTTGCAAAGCAGAATTACATTGTCATTGTTCTTCAAGTGTAGTGCATGATAGACAATTTTCTAGCTCTGCGTCTCTACTTTTATCAAATGTAAAAAACACAATTTCAAATTTTTCTACATAAGACAAATCGAGGTGGTCAGTCACATATTCTCTTTTACAGCAATGAACTGGGGAAGAGTTACAGGGGGGATAAGAGGGGATGAATGATCCAATTGGAATCTGGAAATGATTAATTTATCATGATGGTATGATAGCCAGATTAACACCCCTACTCTTATGATAGGTGCCGTGGGATCTTTAGTGACCACAGAGTCTGGACACCCATTTTAACGTCCCATCCAAAAGACGGCACCCTATACAGGGCAATGTCCCCTTCACGGCCCTGGGGCATTGGGATCTCCTTAGGGGGAAGAGCGCCCCCTACTGGCCCTCTAACACCACTTCCAGCAGCATCTGGACTCCATTCCAGGACAGACCCTGCTTAGTTATCCTATCTAAGTCTTAAGCAGTCTCCATTTACAATGTAAAGGGAGACTGAATCATTGAATCTTTGACTTGTTTTGAAAAAGGCCAAAAAAAACACGAACCTTCGTGAGAAATCATTCTCTGTTTTTTTGTTGTTGATATATCCATACTTGGATCAATATTTTTTTAACTTTTTGACTCCATACTGTACTTGGTGTCATAAAGAACAAGGGAACAGGTACCTTGTAATGCTGGGCGTTGTGGTTCCGGCTGAAGGGATAGAACGCGCCCACCTGCATCCAACGACGACACAACTCTTCTGTCGTGTTGTCAAAGAAACCGCAAATATCAGCACCAATCTGAAAACACACAACGCAGGACAGAACATTACAAACACTGACACACTCACGAAAACACACTCATGAAAACACCCAGATATAGCATTTGAAACTATACAGCTGCGATGGTATTGTTTATCTTGCCTGATATTGCTCCATTTGTTAAAACAATTCAATAAGGCTAAATTGGAAGAATACATGTATACAGTCTCTGTTTAGGTAATAGCATATGGTAAGCATAAAATAAAATACCTAATCAATGGCCCATCCTTTGAGAGCAGTGTGTTTGAGTGTTGCTGTTGTTTGATAGCACTTTACAGCGTGCTCAAAGGGAGGGCATCGATCCAAATCCCAGTCTCCCTATGCCAGGGATGTGAGTGTGTGTGTGTGTGTGTGTGTGTGTGTGTGTGTGTGTGTGTGTGTGTGTGTGTGTGTGTGTGTGTGTGTGTGTGTGTGTGTTTGTGAAAGAGATAGTGAGTTTGAATGGGTGTGTGTGCAAAACAAGAATTGGTAAACCTCTCGGACAGAATTGGACCTCTCGGACAGAATTGGATAAACCTCTCGGACAGTTAGAGAACCTCTAACACTCCCTGTCACAACTGGAGGAGTGGGTGTGTGTGTGTGAGCGTGTGCACGTGTTTATGACTCCCTGTTGGTTTCTTACCGACGTTTCCACTCTGTTGCTTGTCTGTCCTGTCGACAGGAGGCCAGAGCCAAAACGGCTTCTAACCATTCTAACGTCTCATCAGCAAGTGTTTCTCACTAACCCTGCCTCTGTCTCAGATGTGGTAGTGAAGTACAAGCTTCCAGTGAAGACACTTTTCAGTCTACAAACGGATAAATAAACCAACCTGTAAATCAATAGATGACGGTGTCAAACCATCAGACATGACTTTGAGGTACTCACGTAGGGGACTCCGAACAAGCCAAACTCCAGCATACCGGGTATGGCCCATTTGATGTCATTCCAGTTAGCAGCATTGTCACCCAGCCAGTGGCCGGAGTACTTCCCCACTCCAGGGAAGGACGAGCGGGTCAGCATCAGGGTCCGGTTCCCACCAAACGCACGCTTTAGAGCACTACAGGGAGAGTAGGGGGAGAGGGAGAGGTGTGTGGCGAGAATGAGAGAGATAGAGAGTATCATCATCATTGCTTTGCTGCTCTAATTAGCTAGTTAAATCGAATGTCCTTTGATTTTCATGACAATATTGGGTTCTGATGATGTTCACAAAATGTGTCTCCTGACAATAAAACTTTCTATTAGCCGAGAGAGAAACTGACAGAAGAAAAAAGACAAGTAAGGACCAAAGAGGAGTACAACAGAGGAGTGGAGCTAGCGAGCAGTATGCTAACAGGATGAGGAGTGGAGCTAACTAGCGGTATGCTAACAGGATGAGGAGTGGATCTAGCGAGCGGTACGCTAACAGGATGAGGAGTGGAGCTAGCGAGCGGGCGGTATGCTAACAGAATGAGGAGTGGAACTAGCGAGCGGTATGCTAACAGGATGAGGAGTGGAGCTAGCGAGCGGTATGCTAACAGGATGAGGAGTGGCGCTAGCGAGTGGTATGCTAACAGGTGAGGTGAGAGAGGACTGGAGCTAGCGAGTGGTATGCTCTCAGGATGAGTCAGCAATGGAGGAGGCCTCTCAGAAGACAATGTTACTCACAGAGCTCTGTCAGGATTCACCGCTGAGACATAACAGGTCCCCTGTAGCTCAGTTGGTAGAGCGTGGCACTTGCAACGCCACTGTTGTGGGTTTGTTTCTCACGGGGGGCCAGTATGAAAAATCACTAACTGTAAGTCGCTCTGGATAAGAGCGTCTGCTAAATGACTAAAATGTTTTTAAAAAATGTAAAATAACTCTGTGTGTGCGGGTGGTTATGCGTGCATATGGATTTACCTCCGAGACACAACAATCCTCTTTTGACTATCCTACCCAATGACAGGCTCGTTTTAATGATGCTCTATTTATCTAGGCAAAGACAAATCATCACAACTCACCGCTGAAACCTCAGGACAATTCAGCCTCACTCAGCACATAGCAAGGCCTCAAGGCCTCTTAACTATTAATCATTTTACAGTGATTTCAATAAGGATACGCTGGTGGAATTCAAGTATACATACTAAATAGTCCATTCTATGGCAAAACCCCAGTACTAGTTCTAGACACCATAGTAAGATCCATACTCACACTTCAGTGGCAAGAACCATGGAGTAACCATAGAGACTGTGGACATCATAGTGGTTTCCCCAGGTCTGTTTAGAGTCCATACACAGAGTTTTACTGTACAGCACCCCATCCAGAACACCTGAGGAGAGGGGGGTTGGAATGAGCGAGACGCTTGGAGGAGAGAAAATATTTGTGATAATCTCTCTCAAGTCTCTAAACATGTCTCTCTCAGTTCAATTCTAAAAATAGAATGTCTCCTTTCATCAGAGATACTAGTGTACATAAACTGATTTGGCTTATTAAACATAATTACTAGTAGTGAAGGGAGGGTTAATAAACAGCATTACTAGTAGTGAAGGGAGGGTAGTTGAGGGTTAATAAACATAATTACTAGTAGTGAAGGGAGGGATAATAAACAGCATTACTAGTAGTGAAGGGAGGGTTAATAAACAGAATTACTAGTAGTGAAGGGAGGGTTAATAAACATAATTACTAGTAGTGAAGGGAGGGTTAATAAACATAATTACTAGTAGTGAAAGGAGGGTAGTTGAGGGTTAATAAACAGCATTACTAGTAGTGAAGGGAGGGTTAATAAACATAATTACTAGTAGTGAAGGGAGGGTTAATAAACAGCATTACTAGTAGTGAAGGGAGGGTTAATAAACATAATTACTAGTAGTGAAGGGAGGGTTAATAAACATAATTACTAGTAGTGAAGGGAGGGTTAATAAACAGAATTACTAGTAGTGAAGGGAGGGTTAATAAACAGAATTACTAGTAGTGAAGAGAGGGTTAATAAACATAATTACTAGTAGTGAAGGGAGGGTTAATAAACATAATTACTAGTAGTGAAGGGAGGGTTAATAAACAGCATTACTAGTAGTGAAGGGAGGGTTAATAAACATAATTACTAGTAGTGAAGGGAGGGTTAATAAAAATAATTACTAGTAGTGAAAGGAGGGTAGTTGAGGGTTAATAAACAGCATTACTAGTAGTGAAGGGAGGGTTAATAAACATAATTACTAGTAGTGAAGGGAGGGTTAATAAACAGAATTACTAGTAGTGAAGGGAGGGTTAATAAACATAATTACTAGTAGTGAAGGGAGGGTTAATAAACATAATTACTAGTAGTGAAGGGAGGGTTAATAAACATAATTACTAGTAGTGAAAGGAGGGTTAATAAATAGAATAACTAGGAGTGAAGGGAGGGTTAATAAACATAATTACTAGTAGTGAAGGGAGGGTTAATAAACATAATTACTAGTAGTGAAGGGAGGGTTAATAAACAGCATTACTAGTAGTGAAGGGAGGGTTAATAAACATAATTACTAGTAGTGAAAGGAGGGTTAATAAATAGAATAACTAGGAGTGAAGGGAGGGTTAATAAACAGAATTACTAGCAGTGAAGAGAGGGTTAATAAATAGAATAACTAGGAGTGAAGGGAGGGTTAATAAACATAATTACTAGTAGTGAAGGGAGGGTTAATAAACATAATTACTAGTAGTGAAGGGAGGGTTAATAAACATAATTACTAGTAGTGAAGGGAGGGTTAATAAACATAATTACTAGTAGTGAAGGGGGGGTTAATAAACATAATTACTAGTAGTGAAAGGAGGGTTAATAAACATAATTACTAGTAGTGAAGGGAGGGTTAATAAACATAATTACTAGTAGTGAAAGGAGGGTTAATAAACATAATTACTAGTAGTGAAGGGAGGGTTAATAAACATAATTACTAGTAGTGAAGGGAGGGTAGTTGAGGGTTAATAAGCATAATTACTAGTAGTGAAGGGGGGGTTAATAAATAGAATAACTAGGAGTGAAAGGAGGGTTAATAAACAGCATTACTAGTAGTGAAGGGAGGGTTAATAAACATAATTACTAGTAGTGAAGGGAGGGTTAATAAACATAATTACTAGTAGTGAAGGGAGGGTTAATAAACAGAATTAATAGTAGGTTTTGAAGAGGGTGGTTAATAAACAGATTACTAGTAGGTAGTGAAGGGGGGGGGGTTAATAAACATAATAATAGGATGAAGGGGGGGTTATAATAAGAGAATAACTAGGAGTGAAGGGCGGGGTTAATAAACATAATTACTAGAGTGAATAGAGGGTTAATAACTAATACTAGTAGTGAAGAGAGGGTTAATAACATATTACTAGTAGTGAAGAGAGGGTGATATTACTAGTTGAGGGGGTAAAAAATAATTACTGTAGTGAAGGAGGGTTAATAAACAGCATAGTATGAAGGGAGGGTAATAAACATAATTATATAGTGAAGGAGGGTTAATAACAAATTACTATAGTGAAGGGAGGTTAATAACATAATTACTAGTAGTGAGGGGGTTAATCATTAGATGAGGGGGTAATAACAGAATTACTAGTAGGAAGGGGGGGTTAATAAACTAATTACTAGTAGTGAAGGGGGGGTTAATAAATAGAATAACTAGGAGTGAAGGGAGGGTTAATAAACAAATTACTAGTAGTGAAGGAGGTAGTAGGGTTAATAAACAAATTACTAGTAGTGAAGGGAGGGTTAATAAACATAATTACTAGTAGTGAAGTGAGGGTTAATAAGCATATTACTAGTAGTGAAGGGAGGGTTAATAAATAGAATAACTAGGAGTGAAGGAGGGTTAATAAACAGCATTACTAGTAGTGAAGGGAGGGTTAATAAACATAATTACTAGTAGTGAAGGGAGGGTAGTTGAGGGTTAATAAACATAATTACTAGTAGTGAAGAGAGGGTTATTAAACATAATTACTAGTAGTGAAGGGGGTTAATAAACATAATTACTAGTAGTGAAGGGAGGGTTAATAAACAGATTACTAGTAGTGAAGAGAGGGTTAAAACATAATACTAGTAGTGAAGGAGGGTTAATAAACAGCATTACTAGTAGTGAAGGGAGGGTTATAAATAGAATACAGGAGTGAAGGGAGGTTAATAAACAGAATTACTAGTAGTGAAGAGGAGGGTTAATAAACAGAATTACTAGTAGTGAAGGGAGGGTTAATAAACATAATTACTAGTAGTGAAGGGAGGGTTAATAAACAGCATTACTAGTAGTGAAGGGAGGGTTAATAAATAGAATAACTAGGAGTGAAGGGAGGGTTAATAAACAGAATTACTAGTAGTGAAGGGGGGGTTAATAAACATTATTACTAGTAGTAAAGGGAGGGTTAATAAACAGAATTACTAGTAGTGAAGGGAGGGTAGTTGAGGGTTAATAAGCATAATTACTAGTAGTGAAGGGAGGGTTAATAAACAGCATTACTAGTAGTGAAGAGAGGGTAGTTGAGGGTTAATAAACAGCATTACTAGTAGTGAAGAGAGGGCAGTTGAGGGTTAATAAACAGTCTTACTAGTAGTGAAGAGAGGGTAGTTGAGGGTTAATAAACAGTCTTACTAGTATTGAAGGGAGGGTTAATAAACATAATTACTAGTAGTGAAGGGAGGGTTAATAAACAGCATTACTAGTAGTGAAAGGAGGGTAGTTGAGGGTTAATAAACAGCATTACTAGTAGTGAAGGGAGGGTAGTTGAGGGTTAATAAACAGTCTTACTAGTAGTGAAGGGAGGGTTAATAAACATAATTACTAGTAGTGAAGGGAGGGTTAATAAACAGCATTACTAGTAGTGAAGGGAGGGTTGTTGAGGGTTGATAAACAGTCTTACCAGTGTTTCCTCTAGAAAAATTGGTAGCAGTGGAGAGAAAAGGTCGCGGAGGGGGGTTGAAGGGGGGAAGGGGTGTGGGGGGGAGGGGTGGGGGGAATTATGTAGAAGGGCTGAGTAGCTCAGTTCTGGTGACTTTTCTAAAGGACATTCCACTCCTAAATGAATTAAACTAAGTATGCTGAGACCATCTAAAATAGAATTTCCACCTCCCGAAATTAACCCAATAACACATCAGTAAAATGATTTGTTAAAATGTACAGGATATAGCCTATGCATGGTCCATATTATCAGGTATGCTATTAGCAATAAACATAATCACCTTTAGCCCAACTGATGCAGCAAAGTGCAAATAAATAGGCTGAAGCATGGGGTTGCCTATCTGCATTTACCCTATTGGGCTAATCATTAGCCAGATCTCAAATGTGATTTAAAAAAACTTGCATAAACACTAAATATTATGTAGGCCTACCTGTTAGGGTAACTTGGGGTAACTCGCCAGGCGGGGTAAAATGCCCCCTGCTTGTACTTCTCACATAAACCACTTCGTCACAATTTTCCCCCCAAACACTTTCCCTGGTTTCCACTACTCTTGCTCAACAAAACATATTATCTGTCTCATCACAATTTTAAGTCATTCTAAATAAATTATTTTGAGGTAGGGAGGCGTTGTACCCCAAGTCACCCTACAATTGACCGGGGTTACATTTAGCCCCACACTCCCCTGTGCACTCATTGCGAATTGCGGAGCGATAACTTGCTGAGCCTTGTTTCTGCTAAAAAAAATAACGGGTTTAAAATTGCGCAGTTTGCGCATATTTAGGAGTTCAGAAATAAATAAAGTAGGATTGGAAAGCTGGCATTCCCGTCTTTTTAACAAAATCCATTAAAACTTCTGTTTTCGCGATTGCAAGAATTGTTGTCCATTGACTGCCTGTCAGAATGCATGTTTCCCTCCCTATGGCACTTATAACGTGAATGCGCCACGAGAGGAATATGTATCTAGCATAGAACACAACAACAAGCCGACTAGGTAAATAGATAAACTATTCTACTATGGGGTTGTTAGATTTTTCTATTAATTACTCGTTTTGTTTGCAGAGGAAAATCACATGTGGAATGTTCTAGCATCTTCAAAATGTTCCATTATTGTATTTTTTTGCCTGGAGGCAATTATTTTGCCGTGGCGCAGCACCACAGCAAAATGAGTGCACCTGAAACACTGAGTCTTACTAGTAGTGAATGGACGGTAGTTGACGGTTAATAAACAGCCTTACTAGGAGTGAAGGGAGGGTAGTTGAGGGTTAATAAACAGCCTTACTAGTAGTGAAGGGAGGGTAGTTGACGGTTAATAAACAGCCTTACTAGGAGTGAAGGGAGGGTAGTTGAGGGTTAATAAACAGCCTTACTAGGAGTGAAGGGAGGGTAGTTGACGGTTAATAAACAGCCTTACTAGGAGTGAAGGGAGGGTAGTTGACGGTTAATAAACAGCCTTACTAGGAGTGAAGGGAGGGTAGTTGACGGTTAATTAACAGCCTTACTAGGAGTGAAGGGAGGGTAGTTGACGGTTAATTAACAGCCTTACTAGGAGTGAAGGGAGGGTAGTTGAGATTGTTGTCATCACATCCCTTGTTGGAGCCTTTCTTGAAGTTGGACACCTCATTCATATCCTGTCAGGAAGAAGATAGAGTTGGGATGTGTGGATGTGGATGTCAGACTTGAACATAAATATAGTATAATCAAACATTAATAGAACAGACTTACAATCCACAGAGCGTCGTGTTTGATTTCCTTTAATAATTTGACGTACTCCTCAGCCCACCACTCTATACAGCCAGGGTTAGTGTAGTCTGGGAACACTGTCTCACCTGGCCATACCTAGAGAGAGAGGGAGGAGAGGAGAAGAGGAGGAGGAGAGCAAGAGAGGAGGGTTATTGTCAAGAAACACTAAGTCATCTGGCCAGACCTACAGTATAGAGAGAGAAGAGGGGAGATTTAGACCTAGAGAAAGGCCATGCAGAGAAAGAGAGAGGATAGGTGGGGAGAAGGATGGTACGAATGAGAGGAGGGAAATGTTTAGAGGGGAGAGAAGGACATATGAGAGAGAGGGGAGGAGAAAGGAGGAGAGGATAAATCGATTATGCAATATAAATATCCAGACGTGACTGTGTGTTTGAAGCCTTTGCTAATGACATGCACAGAGAGCAATGATTAATCCTCAGAGAAAGAGGGGGGGGGGGGGGGGGGGGGGGGAGAGAGACAGTTTTCAATTGCAATTGCATGTGCGTGTGTGTCTGTAGCTATGCATGTGTGTGTGTGTGTGTGTGGTGTGTGTGTGTGCATATGCTGTGTGTGTGTGTGTGCATATACTGTATGTGTGTGTGTGTGTGTGTGTATATACTGTGTGTGTGTGTGTGTGTGTGTGTGTGTGTGTGTGTGTGTGTGTGTGTGTGTGTGCATACGCTGTGTGTATGTCCGTTAGGTTTAGATCTGGGCTGACCTTGTATGACAGGGTTGTAAAGTTTAAATCTCAAGGTTTCTCCCCTCAGTAAAACACTAGCTAGTCTTTACCCTATCACTAACACCTTTACAACCACTAGCAGAAAGAGAACATCAATCATTCCCACATACATTCACATAAACACACACACACTCACATGTCCTAATTATGACGATGTACCTCTCAAGGGAGCAGATTTATAGGAACACCTTTTGGGCAGAAATGTGATGCCTACAAGGTCAGGGTTAATCCATTGTCTGTGGTCATTATCTACACCAGCCATTAAACCTTAATGCCATAATAAATACCTTATCTACACCAGCCCTTAACCCTTAATGCCATAATAAATACCTTATCTACACCAGCCCTTAACCCTTAATGCCATAATAAATACCTTATCTACACCAGCCCTTAACCCTTAATGCCATAATAAATACCTTATCTACACCAGCCCTTAACCCTTAATGCCATAATAAATACCTTATCTACACCAGCCCTTAACCCATAATGCCATAATAAATACCTTATCTACACCAGCCCTTAACCCTTAATGCCATAATAAATACCTTATCTACACCAGCCCTTAACCCTTAATGCCATAATAAATACCTTATCTACACCAGCCCTTAACCCTTAATGCCATAATAAATACCTTATCTACACCAGCCCTTAACCCTTAATGCCATAATAAATACCTTATCTACACCAGCCCTTAACCCTTAATGCCATAATAAATACCTTATCTACACCAGCCCTTAACCCTTAATGCCATAATAAATACCTTATCCACACCAGCCCTTAACCCATAATGCCATAATAAATACCTGCATGTCCTTGCACGTTCCACTATGGCTAGCATCCCACCATCTAGAACATGACTCATCAGCTACCTCTATTGTTTTTATAAAGCACACTCAGTGAGGCAGAACTCACACACATCTGCACACACACACACACACACACACACACACACACACACACACACACACACACACACACACACACACACACACACACACACACACACACACACACACACACACACACACACACACTTGGTGTAAGTAAACACAGTCTGTACTAATTCTCAGAGCATATTGCCTGTGATGCAGAACAGTTTGAGATTGAACACTAACGTAGAATCAATGCATATGTTTGACCTGATATAAAACCATAAAAAAGTTATTAGCACTTGGCCAGGCTTAATTGTGTGGGTAAAAAACACGACTTAACCCATGAGATATCATATGCTCCATAGACATTTGTAAACTCTCTCTCTCTCTCTCTGCACACATAACACAAACAACACTAGCCTACCTCTCTCTCTCACACACTCAATCACACAAGCGCACACCATATCCACCACCTCCACCACCACCACCACCACCACCACCACCACCACCTCCACCACCTCCACCTCCACCCCACCACCACCTCCACCCCACCACCACCTCCACCTCCACCTCCACCTCCACCTCCACCTCCACCTCCACCTCCACCTCCACCTCCACCTCCACCCCACCACCACCTCCACCACCTCCACCACCACCACCACCTCCACCTCCACTACACCACCACCTCCACCACCACCTCCACCACCTCCACCACCACCTCCACCACCTCCACCACTACCTCCACCACCTCCACCACCAGCAAGGTGATTCAAAGAGTTTGGGTTAAATGTGAAAGACATTTCTGTGAAAGACATTTCTGTTGGATGTATTCAGTTGTGCAACTGACAAGGTTTTCCCTTCCCACCTACCTCTCCCAGCAGAGGAGTCTCTCCATCAGCCTCAGTGACCCAGACTTTCTTCAGTGTTCCTTGGTCATAGGCCTCATACGGCCCGTTGATCCTCTTACTGATGGCCACAGCCGGGTCCTGAGGAGCAATGATACAGCCTTTTACATTATGTTCTTTGTACCGGAAGGTTGCATGTTTGAATCCCCGAGCCAATCAGTGGAAACATTCTGACAGCATTTTCTTTGGCAAAACTGCACTAAACTCAACAAAAACATTTGAAAATAGGCCTACTCACAAAAGGCTATTATATTGGGAATGAGCTTTGATGTGTGAGAAATGATTGGATGGCGCGTGCATCGTATTTTGTCATAGGGTAGGCTACCGTGTCTCAGGCCTAGGTAGAGGAAGGAAGATGATTTCCAATAGGCCTAGGTACAGGAAGGAAGATGATTTCCAATAGGCCTAGGTACAGGGAGGAAGACGATTTCCAATAGGCCTAGGTACAGGAAGGAAGACGATTTCCAATAGGCCTAGGTACAGGAAGGAAGACGATTTCCAATTGGCCTTGGTACAGGAGTACTCATGGATGACTTAATTTCCCCCTTTCCTTTCCCCTTCATATGCCCGAGACCAAACACAACTTTTCACTTTGCATTTAACTTAACTATCAACCCGAAGAGTTTAAGGCAACTGACTTAAATGCCCAATGCAGCCGTTTTTATATCAATATCAAATAATTTTGGGTAACAATTAAGTACCTTATTGTAATAGATTTCCGTTAAAATAGACAATCATTTCATTTTTTATAGCAGAAAACTATTTCTCAAGCAATACGTTTGCTAGGACTGTCTGGGAGTGGTTTGAGTGGGGAGGGGAGAACTGAAAACTAGCTGTTATTGGCAAAGAGGTTTGGAACTCTCTTTGTTATTGGTCTGTTAAACAATTTACCGCATGGTGATGTCACCATGGAAAGCCGAAACTCCCGCCCATGCAAACCTGCTGATTAGATGGTCCTGTGTAGATTGTATTTTCAACCAGCAACCATCAGGAAATAACACTGTTGGTTGGTTTCATCAGCTATTGTACAATCTGATATAACACACAGGAAAAACAGAATTTTGACTGTACTGGGCCTTTAAATAACCTCTGTGCCAAGAAGCCTGCGCTTGTGGAACGTACCATCCTCATATATAAACAGCTGGCTTCAGGTAAGTGTGTTATCCACACCTTTCTCTCTTACATTACCATGTTGCCACACAACCACTGTCTACATTAATGTCTTAGAATGACCACATATGAGGAAGGGAAAACATGACGATAAATAATATTCTGAGAATTAGACAAACTCTTCTCAGAATTTAACTACCACGTCACTGCGGCCACAATGGATACGCTCATTCCAACCAAACTATTACCAGCGCTCTCCTGTGCACGCACGCTAGTGGTGCCTGGGTCAGCTGTTTGTTCACCCGCACCCGCCCGCAATTGCTAATAACCCATCCGCAACCACCCGACTATATGTGATAAAGTGAAAATCTAAGGCCCAACATTTTGGTAGGCTATTTGTTAGTCAACTTGTCTATAATTAGATACAGTGGGGGAAAAAAGTATTTAGTCAGCCACCAATTGTGCAAGTTCTCCCACTTAAAAAGATGAGAGAGGCCTGTAATTTTCATCATAGGTACACGTCAACTATGACAGACAAAATGAGAAAAAAAAATCCAGAAAATCACATTGTAGGATTTTTAATGAATTTATTTGCAAATGATGGTGGAAAATAAGTATTTGGTCAATAACAAAAGTTTCTCAATACTTTGTTATATACCCTTTGTTGGCAATGACACAGGTCAAACGTTTTCTGTAAGTCTTCACAAGGTTTTCACACACTGTTGCTGGTATTTTGGCCCATTCCTCCATGCAGATCTCCTCTAGAGCAGTGATGTTTTGGGGCTGTCGCTGGGCAACACAGACTTTCAACTCCCTCCAAAGATTTTCTATGGGGCTGAGATCTGGAGACTGGCTAGGCCACTCCAGGACCTTGAAATGCTTCTTACGAAGCCACTCCTTCGTTGCCCGGGCGGTGTGTTTGGGATCATTGTCATGCTGAAAGACCCAGCCACGTTTCATCTTCAATGCCCTTGCTGATGGAAGGAGGTTTTCACTCAAAATCTCACGATACATGGCCCCATTAATTATTTCCTTTACACGGATCAGTGGTCCTGGTCCCTTTGCAGAAAAACAGCCCCAAAGCATGATGTTTTCATCCCCATGCTTCACAGTAGGTATGGTGTTCTTTGGATGCAACTCAGCATTCTTTGTCCTCCAAACACGACGAGTTGAGTTTTTACCAAAAAGTTCTATTTTTGCTCCTGTAAGTCGCTCTGGTTAAGAGCGTCTGCTAAATGACTAAAATGTAAAAAAAAATGTAAAAATGACATTCTCCCAATCCTCTTCTGGATCATCCAAATGCACTCTAGCAAACTTCAGACGGGCCTGGACATGTACTGGCTTAAGCAGGGGGACACGTCTGGCACTGCAGGATTGGAGTCCCTGGCGGCGTAGTGTGTTACTGATGGTAGGCTTTGTTACTTTGGTCCCAGCTCTCTGCAGGTCATTCACTAGGTCCCCCCGTGTGGTTCTGGGATTTTTGCTCACCGTTCTTGTGATAATTTTGACCCCACGGGGTGAGATCTTGCGTGGAGCCCCAGATCGAGGGAGATTATCAGTGGTCTTGTATGTCTTCCATTTCCTAATAATTGCTCCTACAGTTGATTTCATCAAACCAAGCTGTTTACCTATTGCAGATTCAGTCTTCCCAGCCTGGTGCAGGTCTACAATTTTGTTTCTGGTGTCCTTTGACAGCTCTTTGGTCTTGGCCAAAGTGGAGTTTGGAGTGTGACTGTTTGAGGTTGTGGACAGGTGTCTTTTATACTGATAACAAGTTCAAACAGGTGCCATTAATACAGGTAACGAGTGGAGGACAGGGGAGCCTCTTAAAGAAGAAGTTACAGGTCTGTGAGAGCCAGAAATCTTGCTTGTTTGTAGGTGACCAAATACTTATTTTCCACCATAATTTGCAAATAAATTCATAAAAAATCCTACAATGTGATTTTCTGGATTTTTTTCTTCTCAATTTGTCTGTCATAGTTGACGTGTACTTATGATGAAAATTACAGGCCTCTCTCATCTTTTTAAGTGGGAGAACTTGCACAATTGGTGGCTGACTAAATACTTTTTTCCCCCACTGTACATGCAGCTTCTCTTCTGTCATTATATGTTACCCTGGACGACTAAATAAACCCTTGATCACCAGAATAATGTCATAACTCTATAGAATGAGTGCTTCCATCTAGTTTAGGGACTGGGGAGAAAATACAATAAAGCAAAAAAATATATAAAAAAATAGAACAGGAAAGATTTTCAGCAAAATGTCCAAAAGATGTCAGTTTCACCGGTTGTAAGGAAAATGAAAGCTGTGAAAACGACCCAATGTGTTTCTGATAAGATTTCAGTTCGACTTTGATGCATATTGTATGTGGTTGAAATACTATCAGCTTTTATGATGCTTTTATGATGAAGACAGCACCTCTACAGATGGTATCTAACTGAACATTGCATTCTCTCAAGATGCAGAAATAAAGAAATCATATTTCTCCACTCCTGCTCCCAAGTCAAAAATTTGCCTACATTTGGTGTATAATTTTACTACAAGAAATGCTTAATTCTGCCAGAGTTATTACTAAGGCTATAGCCCTATTGGCACGGGACTAGTATTACTACAGGACCTTGGTAATGCATGTATTACCCAGAATGTCCGTTATTCCAGAGGCGCAACATTTTTAGAATGACACATTTGGCGATGTTCAATATATTCGCACAAAACGTATAAACAAAATCATTCACTGTGAAAGTCGATACATGTAGGCCGTTCATATATAGGCTATGCGCAGCACTTCGTTCAATTTATCGAATCAAGAGGACTTTGGAGTTTGCCAAAATAAATACCTTATCTACACCAGTCCTTAACGCCATAATAAATACCTTATCTACACCAGTCCTTAACCCATAATGCCATAATAAATACCTTATCTACACCAGCCCTTAACCCTTCATGCCATAATAAATACCTGCATGTCCTTGCACGTTCCACTATGGCTAGCATCCCACCATCTAGAACATGACTCATCAGCTACCTCTATTGTTTTTATAAAGCACACTCAGTGAGGAAGAACACAGTCAAACACATCGAGGTGAGTTTCTTACCAATATGAGGATGTACTTCTGTCCCTTCTCGTGCAAGTAATCAGCGAACTGAGGGAGGTCTTTGAATTTGACTTCATCATAAGTGAAGTCCTTCTTCTCTTCCATATAGTCAATGTCAGTATACTGGATGTCCTGGGACAGAAGAGAAGCAGGTAGCGAATATCCAAAAAATATAATCTAATTGTATTTGTCACATGTGCCTAATAAAACAGGTGTAGACCTTACAGCGAAATGCTCACTTATATAGTAACATACACATACTATCATAGTGTAATAGGTCTGATATAACGCATTCCTTAAGGCAATAGGTGTTGAATGTTAAGTGTCATAATCACGCAGTATTTGTCTTTACAGCCACTCCAATTGTCGGCGTCGTTGCATGTTTACCATACATTTAGTCCAAGTTACTCCAATATGATGATATTGGCAGTATTTAGTGCAGTGCAGTTCATCCACTCAAAATAAGCTGCATCTTATCTTATCTTTAAATCCTATCTTCTAATATTAACGTCTTAGCATGACTGAAATGTATGCCCTTAAATGCATCTTAATATGAATGTAATGCATATAGGATAATTCAGAGACTATGCAGAGACTCAAATGTTTGCAACTTAGCACAACTTAAACACATCTGCTCAGATATTAGCATATTTTACATTACCTTAATGCATTCCCCTCACACATATTTGCATCTTTGCATAAGCTAAACGCATCCTCTTTAGCATATGCCTACTGGCATGCCTGCAAGGTTCAGACCTTGATGTGAGTGCTAGTGACTTGGCTAATGTGTAGCGGAACCTTGGGAGGATTCTAGAGTGTTAGCACATTCTGTTTTTTTTTGTTGGTCTGGGCCTTGATTCTGTGGCTTGGCAGTCCCTCTCCATATCACTCTAACAGATGGTTCCCAGCACCTGCCAGTTCCCCGCTAATGGTAATCAGTTCCAGACGTATTAGGATAATGTGCTAATGCCCTCTGTGGTCTAACTGATCGCTATCAAATATGTACCCTCAATATATCCGCTGTCAACCAGCTGTATCTTAAAGTCAAATGGGGACATTAAGGACGTGGTTATTAAAACAACAAAGAGTAAAGAGTAAGCTTGTCTTGTCTGAGTTTTTTTTTTTTGTGATTGTTTGTGTCAAAGTTAGACCTCTCAATTGTCTTGGAGGTTAGTTAAATCCTCGCAAGAAGCTGATTAGTTTTCACATGGTAAATATGTCTGCCAACTGCAGGAGACTCCTGAAGGACTGGAGAACAGACTGTCAGACTCTACCGATTTGACAGGGAACAAGATTCTATCAGAGACCAAAAGGTCAGCACCCTGCTGCCTGTCCAGCTCTGATAGAGAACTTGATATCTCTAGTCTACAGCTGAATCCTATCTGGTGGTAGGTGGATTACCGTCCTTTGCTTATATCTTTCAGTGTGGAACTGATTGCTAATGATTCCTAGCAGTGTTTCCCTTACTTGTGGTAGGTGGGAATTACTTACTAATCCGTTGCTCCCGTTTTGTTATTGGTGGACATAGGTACGTTTTCACTTTATAATTCACTGGTACCTCATGGTTTTCCACAGTTCTCTAGTTCCCAGATGCACTGGTTTCCAGCTCTAAGATAGAAACTTGGTTCCTAAATGTCTGCCTATCTAGTGCCTATAGGACCCATAGTTCTACTGTAAGGCTCTTACATATGGCAGGTCGACAGCTCGGTTCCTCTCCACGGTTCTCTTGACTTCATCCAGACTGCCGTAGTCCCAACGAGACAACTGGAAGCCCAGAGACCAGTATGGAGGAATCACTGGCATGCCGATCAGCTGGACACACACACATACACACACACCACACACACACACACACACACACACACCACACACACACACACACACCACACACACACACACACAGGAAAGATGTAACATTACACATACACTGATTCCAAATGTATCACTGTATCACAGAGCATTCATGCCTATCACTTCCAAATGATGAGCTTCAGAGTGAAAGTCTGTCTCACCTCCAGGAACTCCTGGACCACCTGTTCAGGTGTGTCTCCCAGCAGGATGTAGAAGTCCAGAACTCCTCCAATGGTTCTGTAGGTCACCGCTGGAGCTGGCTGCAGCGTCACCTCTGGACAGGGTCACAAACACAACCACACAGTGATGAGATATATTCTGATCTCTGGATCCGATAAATAGACACATCTGGACCTGGTCAGAACAACACTATTCATGTGTTTCTGTAGACTCTGTATGTGTGTGTGTTTTTTACCCATAGCGTTGCTGTTCATGAGGAAGACTCCGAAGGACTTGCCACTCTCGTCCTCCAGACAGAGGAAGTAGGGATAGTGACCATAGAGGTTATGTGTCCCCTGGGGGATGAAGGAAAGAAAAGAAAAGAGAGAGAGAGAGAGAGAGAGAGAGAGAGAGCGAGAGAGAGAGAGGGAAAAAAAAAGGGATGCAAAGAGGAGAGAGAGAGAGAGAGAGAGGGAGAGAGAGAGGAGAGAGAGATGAGAGAGGAGTTGTGTCCTGTTGAGAGCTTGTGGAGAGAGAGAGATGAGAGAGATCCATAGAGAGAGGTGGATATCGATCTCTCTCTTCATAGAATTGCTTTTTGCGTTGAGGTACTCTCTTCTCATCTGTTTCGTCTCTGCTCCTCTCTCTCTCCTCTCTCTCTCTTCTCCTCTCTGTCTCTCCTCTCTCCTCTCTCTCGCTCTTCTTCTCTCTTTTCTCTCTCTCTTCCTCCTTCTCTCTCTGCTCTCTTCTTCTGCTCTTCTCTCCTCTCTCTTCTCTCTTTTTCTCTCTCTCTCTCTCTCCTCTCTCCTCCTCTCTCTCGCTTTTTCTTTGTCTCTCCTCTCTTCTTCTCTCTTCTCTCTCTTTCTCTCTCTCGCTCTCTCTCTCTTCTCTCGCTCTTCTCCGTCTCTCTTCTGATCGCTCTTTCTCCTTCTTCAAAACTCATCCATCTTTCCGAAGACTGTGGTGTCGGCACAAACTAATCAGCTTACAAGACATTCAATTACCCGCCCTTTGGGAAGGAATGTACACACACACACACCGTGTTCACAGCAGCTGACAGATATGAGCTGTGCTCCTTATAGAACACATGCTGCTTGTGTGATGATGGAGAATGATCAATGTCAGAAGTGTGTGTGTGTGTGTGTGTGTGTGTGTGTGTGTATGTGTATATCAGTACTCACCCCATTAGGAAATGAATCTCGTGTGAAGATAGGCCAGGTCCTCCAGTTGGTGTCATGACGATAGTTCTGATGGACGTGTTCTCCCAGCCCGTATATATTATGGGATGGCAGTCTGGCAGACAGCTGCAGGTACTGATCAGCAAACACCAGTGGACCCACTGTGGTGTCAAACCTGTGTGTGTGTGTGAGTGGAGGGGTTGGGTTTGTTGGGAGGTGGGTGGGTGTTTTTTGTGTTGAGAAGAGGAGATAGTGGTTGTATTAGAACACAGGGTATATATTGAACTGTACAGTACAGTATGTTGACAGGTCATTGTTATGGAGGAAAACCCCTCCAGGTAGCTAGCTGCAGTCAGACCATTAGAACACACCATAACGAGGCCTGTGTAGCTTCATCCCACTGACATTACTAACAATACATACATTGATATATCCTACCCTTCCTCCTCCTTGCTCAACAGAGGGGAGAGAGTGAGAGAGAGAGAGAGAGAGAGAGAGAGAGAGAGAGAGAGGAGAGAGAGAGAGAGAGAGATAGAGATCAAGGGCAGTATAATGTATTGAGTGGTGTGTCTGTGCACAGTAAGCAATGTGCAGGGCAAGTATGCTTGCTTTTAACAACCTTTATGTTTTTATTACAGTGAGAAAAACATCAGCCAACATCCTGACTCTGGTGAGACACAACGAAAGGATTACCATTAGGTGAACTACAGTCTAAACTAAATCAATGTACAGGAAACCCCCCCTGACAGAGATAGAGGTGTCATCCTACTAAGTGCTGTAGGATGAGGAATCAATAACAGTGAGCTATAATGACCTCTATACTCCCTCTCCATCAGGAAGTCCACCTGGAGAGACTCCTGGTAATTGGACGGATGGATCACAGGAACAGGAACAGGACCCTACCACAGCTCACCCAAACACTGCACTATTGAATCTAATGGCTCTGTCGCAGCCGGCCGCGACCGGGAGACTCATGGGCGGCGCACAATTGCCCAGCGTCGTCCAGGGTAGGGGAGGGAATGGCCGGCAGGGATGTAGCTCAGTTGATAGAGCATGGTGTTTGCAACGCCAGGGTTGTGGGTTCGATTCCCACGGAGGACCAGTATTAAAAAAATATGTATTCACTAACTGTAAGTCGCTCTGGATAAGAGCGTCTGCTAAATGACTAAAATGTAAATGTATGGTTGAAAAAAGTGGAGAGTTAATGGTTTTTGATTGGAATTACTAAGGGTTAATCTCGTTAGTTATTAAAGCCTGTGTCGCTGTGGCGAATAACACAACTGTCAAACAGTCAGAGAGCAAGCTGATATTATCATAGCTATTATCTCTACAGTCAATGATTTTCTCTCTCTTTCTCAACATGTGCCTGCTCATTTAATCTGAAGAGCTGAATCTAAACCGTTTTATCAGAACATCCATTGATAAGACTCTTATCACCAGTTATGTAGTAAATATTACCCAGTAATGTAGTAAACATTACCCAGTAATGTAATAAATATTACCCAACAATGTGCAATATAGCAAGCAGTATAAAGCAATATCCCTTTCTATCTCTGTGAGCCAAATGCCACTCATCTGATAAGCACATCGGGCAAAGGAAAGCAAAAGGTCATACCTTTTAAACACACAGTCACTGTGGTATATTTAAACAAAATCCGATAAGTCACTTGAGGAAGTGGTAAAATGAACAAGTGGTGCCATCCTGTACTATCTTGTACATGGTGCACGTGTGTCTCTATAGCTGACAGATAGACCAAAAGCAGACACAGGAGTAAATTAATAAATGCTTCTCATTAAGTCCTATTTTCAGCAGTGAAAAGTGAATTCATTTGCATGTCACTCAGTCCTATTTACCAGCAGCAACAACAGTAGTGGTTTTAATGGTTGTAGCCCTTTACACTCGTACCCATATATGGGTTGAAAATGGCAGATTTGGGCACTAATAAGCACCTGGATTGGAACGCAGTGGCTGTACAGTAACACGCTATACATGACGTCAGAGGTCAGAGGTCAGTGGCTGTACAGTAACATGCTATACATGACGTCAGAGGTCAGAGGTCAGTGGCTGTACAGTAACATGCTATACATGACGTCAGAGGTCAGTGGCTGTACAGTAACATGCTATACATGACGTCAGTGCAGGGTCATGCTGACAGATAGACACTAAAGAGCAGAGGTCAAGGCAGTGGCTTACAGTAAATGCTATACATACGTCAGAGGTCAGATAGTGGTTACAGTGAAAATGCTATTCATGAGTCATAGTCAGTTGTACAGTACATGCAACAGACGCAGTAGGTGGTGTTTAATGGTTTGGTAAGCCGATTATGCTGTACGCCATATACTGGTTGAAATGGCAGATAGTTGGGCACAGTAACATGCAACATGAGTGGAAGGTCAGAGGTGTGCTGTACAGTAACATGCTATACATGAGTCAGAGGTCAGAGCTCAGTGGCTGTACAGTAACATGCTATACATGACGTCAGAGGTCAGAGGTCAGTGGCTGTACAGTAACATGCTATACATGAAGTCAGAGGTCAGTGGCTGTACAGTAACATGCTATACATGACGTCAGAGGTCAGAGGTCAGTGGCTGTACAGTAACATGCTATACATGACGTCAGAGGTCAGTGGCTGTACAGTAACATGCTATACATGACGTCAGAGGTCAGTGGCTGTACAGTAACATGCTATACATGACGTCAGAGGTCAGAGGTCAGTGGCTGTACAGTAACATGCTATACATGACGTCAGAGGTCAGTGGCTGTACAGTAACATGCTATACATGACGTCAGAGGTCAGAGGTCAGTGGCTGTACAGTAACATGCTATACATGACGTCAGAGGTCAGTGGCTGTACAGTAACATGCTATATATGACGTCAGAGGTCAGTGGCTGTACAGTAACATGCTATACATGACGTCAGAGGTCAGTGGCTGTACAGTAACATGCTATACATGACGTCAGAGGTCAGTGGCTGTACAGTAACATGCTATACATGACGTCAGAGGTCAGGCTCTGCTCTTCACAGCGCTGTATGGGTTTTGACTGACAGCTGTTCTGAACTTGAGCACCTTGCATGACAAGAAGTAGCCCCCATCCATCTGGCTAATTGGGGAAACTTTAGCAAATGTTTGGTTGTCTGAGTGAGAGAAATGCTATAAGTTAAGGTGACTCTATGTATTTTGAAAGATGAGACGTTGAGGATTATAATACATACCGCTTTGATGTCAAACAAGCAAGCCAAACACCCATGAATCCCAAATGTGCACTTCACATTTCCAAATCATAAAAACTCATGTCACATACAGTGTCAACATTTATGATCACTATGTTTGATGTACAGTTACCAGATGAGATGGCTTCATACCCTGGGTTGTTCTGAACAGAATGAGCCTGTGTTTGATTATCGTGAAGAAAATGTGCATTGTTACACGCACCTGAATGAGCTCAGGACTCCTTTTCTATGGCCACCAACATTACGATCTGTTTCTCTGAATTGCCATTTGAAAGCATAACGCAGTAAGATCGTATTTTATAACTTAGCTAGACATGTTGGCACTAGAACAAGCTTTCAAATCATGCCCACCTGACCCAGATTGCGATTTATAATAGAGGCGTTTTTTGGATTGCGTAAACAACAACAGTAATTGTGTGATGGAGGGGATGCAGGGTTGTGTTCCAAACGAAACAACTACAAGTGTTCTTGCTCTAGTTCCTCAACATCACAGCCAGGAGAGCTAAAAAAAACACCTTATAGTGACTCTTTTATGACTCTTCTTTGAGTCATAAAAGTGCATTGAAATTGGAGACAACAGTTAGTCCTCTCACTCAAACCCTTATCATTGTTTTGTCTTATGTTCCACCTACGTCACATTTTCCAGGAACATTCTTATCATGTTACTGAATGTATCCGGAGTATTGTCATATTTCGTAAATCAACAAATGTGTTCGAAAAGTACAGTAAATGTAAAATGCACATAAAATCAACAGTGTAATGTTTGGATTCAGTCTTGTGAAGTGTTGTGTACTCACCTTTGGTCTAATAATTTCCCCATTACCTCCAAATGGTGCCCTTTCAATTGCTACCATGGTTACGCATATGATTTTCAGACATGGATTAATTGACACAAGTGACCAAAATCGAACTCCTGTTGCAAAAAATTTGCTTAGTTAATTCACTAATAATAAGGCTTGTGTCGACGTACCCGGACATGCACGCAATAACAAACTAGCTAGCTAAGCAGATAGCTATGTGACCTGTTAGCAAAGAACGATATCTAACCCTTTCATCTGTGGTTTTAGCTAGCTAGCTATATTAGCTACTATGCTACCTAGTTGGCTAGATAAACATGGTGCTAAGATATCAGATGGGAGCTAATAGCCACCGTAGCTAGCTAACGTTAACTGGTTATCACCATTGAGCTAGTTCTCATAGTTACAGTAAACAGCAATGGAGAGAGATGTGAGGAGATGTGAAAGGGAGTGGAGTTACAACCTCACTCTATCCAATCGTAGCAGTAGGCTCAAGTTACAACCTATTTCTTGACAGATAGCTGAACTAGCCAATTTCGTCCTTGTAGCTGAACTGTTTAGAGATGCGTCCTGACAGCTGAAAACATTTTTTGGGGGGCATAGACTACAAAATGTAAAAAGCGTTTCACAGGGATGCTGGCCCATGTTGACTCCAATGCTTCCCACATTTGTGTCAAGTTGGCTGGATGTCCTTTGAGTGGTGGGCCATTCTTGATACACACGGGAAACTGTTGAGTGTGAAAAACCCAGCAGCATTGCAGTTCTTGACACACTCAAACCGGTGCACCTGGCACCTACTACCATACCCTGTTCAAAGGCACTTAAATATTTTGTCTTGCCCATTCACCCTCTGAATGGCACACATACACAATCCATGTCTCAATTGTCTCAAGGCTTAAACATCCTTTTTTAACCTGTCTCCTCCCCTTCATCTACACTGATTGAAGTGGATTTAACAGGTGACATCAATAAGGGATCATAGCTTTCACTTGGATTCACCTGGTCAGTCTATGTCATGGAAAGAGCAGGTGTTCTTAATGTTTTGTACACTCTATGTATATCCCAAATAGAAGGCAAACAGTTTTTTTGTAATCTGTAGCACCATAGACTCCACTGATCAGCCTAAACAAACTCAATAACTCAATGCATGTTCACACTCCTATTGAATATGCATACACCTGTATTGTGAGTAGACCTATGTCATCTTAATTTACCCAGTTTTTCAAGAGATTTACCATTCAAATAACATTTTTCCCATTATGTTGTCATGTAGTTAAGATTTGTAAAAACAAAGTCAAATGTATTGTTTTTGATTTTTAAATATACAGTGAGCTCCATAATTCATTGGACAGTGACCATTGTTTTGTTATTTTGGTTCTGTACTCTAGCACTTTGAGTTTGAAAGGATACAATGACAATGAGCGTGAAGTGCAGACTGTCAGCTTTAATTTGAGGGTATTTTCATACATATCGGATGAACCGTTTAGAAATGACAGCACCTTTTGTACATGGTCCCCCCATTTTAAGGTACTACAAGTATTTGTTAAATTGGCTTCACAGATGTGTGTCGTTAGGCAGGTGTATTCATTTGTGTCGTTAGTGAATGCAGGAGAGCTGTTGATGAATAGTAATGATTCTAGACGTTGCTATTGCCTTTGGAGGTTGTTATTGGGGTGTGACAACATGAGGAAGACAGCAGTGTCGATGCAAATGAAGTTGGCCGTCATAAGGCTCAGAAATGAAAATCAATCATTCAGGAACATTGCAAAAACCCTGGCCATGCCCAAGTCAACAGTTTTGTTCATCATTAACAAGAAAAAAACAACCGGTGATCTCAATTATGTCAAAAGACCCGGTAGACAGAGGAAGACCACTGTAGTGGATGACCGGAGAATACTCTCTATGGTGAAGAAAAAACCCCTGATAACAGCCCAACAGATCAAAAACACTCTCCTGGATGCAGGTGTAGATGTGTCAAAGTCTACCATACGCAGAAGACTACACCAGCAGGACTACAGAGGGTACACTACAAGATGCAAACCACTGATAAGCCTGAAGAACAGAAAGGCAAGATTACAGTTTGCTAAAAAGCACCTAAAAGAACCCCAAGAGTTCTGGAAAAAAATATTGTGGACAGATGAGACAAAGATTAACATGTACCAGAGTGATGGAAAGACAAAAGTGTGGAGAAAAAAAAGAAATGCCCATGATCCAAAGCATACCACCTCATCCATGAAACATGGTGGAGGGGGGTGTTATGGCTTGGGCCTGTATGGCTGCCAGTGGAACAGGCTCACTTGTCTTCATCGATGATGTGACTGCAGACAGAAGTAGAACAATGAATTCTGAAGTCTACAGAAATATTTTATCTGCTCAGATAAAACCAAATGCCTCCAAACTCATTGGACGGCACTTAATCACGCAACAAGACAATGACCCTAAACATACTGCTAGAGCAACAAAGGGGTTTTTGATGGCCAAAAAGTGGAAAAACCTTGACTGGCCGAGTCAATCACCAGATCTGAATCCAATTGAACATGCATTTTACATGCTGAAGAGGAGACTTAAGGCAATAAGTCCCCGAAACAAGCAGGAACTGAAGATGGCTGCAGTACAGGCCTGGCAGAGCATCACCAGGGAAGATACCCAGCGTCTGGTGATGTCGATGCATCGCAGACTTCAAGCAGTCATTGCATGCAAAGGATATGCGACCAAATATTAACAATGATTACTTTATTCTACATTATGTTAAACTGTCCAATGTTTTTTGATGCCCGAAAATGGGGGGGACCATGTACAAAAGCTTCTATAATTCGTAAACGGTTCATCCGATATGTATGAAAATACCCTCAAATTAAAGCTGACAGTCTGCACTTCACCCTCATTGTCATTGTATCCTTTCAAACTCAAAGTGCTAGAGTACAGAACCAAAATAACAAAAGAATGGTCACTGTCCAGTGAATTATGGAGCTCACTGTATATATTAATGCACACATGGCTGTCTCTGGGACATTTTATTTCTATTGAATATCGGCCTAAAATATCATCCATCGGCCTCCTTGACCCAAAAAAATTGGTATCGGCCCTAAAATAATCAATATTGGTCGTACTTTGGTTTTAACAGGAGTCATAATCATGGTTTTAACAGGAGTCATAATCATGGTTTTAACAGGAGTCATAATCATGGTTTTAACAGGAGTCATAATCATGGTTTTAACTGGGGTCATAATCATGGTTTTAATGGTTTTACAGAGGGACTGTATAATGGTTCATTTGGCTGGTTGGAGGTGTAATGGTTTAACAGGGAGACGGTATAAAGGTTCATTTGGCTGGTTGGAGGTGTAATGGTTTTACAGAGGGACTGTATAATGGTTCATTTGGCTGGTTGGAGGTGTAATGGTTTAACAGGGAGACAGTATAATGGTTCATTTGGCTGGTTGGAGGTGTAATGGTTTAACAGGGAAACGGTATAAAGGTTCGTTTGGCTGGTTGGAGGTGTAATGGTTTAACAGGGAGACGGTATAAAGGTTCGTTTGGCTGGTTGGAGGTGTAATGGTTTAACAGGGAAACGGTATAAAGGTTCGTTTGGCTGGTTGGAGGTGTGATGGTTTAACAGGGAGACGGTATAAAGGTTCGTTTGGCTGGTTGGAGGTGTAATGGTTTAACAGGGAGACGGTATAAAGGTTCGTTTGGCTGGTTGGAGGTATAATGGTTTAACAGGGAGACGGTATAAAGGTTCGTTTGGCTGGTTGAAAGTGCAATGGTTTTAGAGGGAGGCTGCAGACGTAACCACACTGTCTCGGTCACCAGGGGAGACTGACATGGAACACAGAAAACAAACGTGTCGTGTGTGTGCGTGCGTGCATGGACGTGCGAGCGTGTGTCTTTGGCGTCCTGACAGAATAATACATATTAATGAAGTGACTGCATGGTCTACATGCACCTCTAAGAGGATCAAGTCTAACGTGATGCTGTAACCAGATGTATAGGCTGCTGTTTTCTCTTGTATTCTCTGAGAGCATTAGTACCAAGGTTGGAGTGTCGCAGATAGACTGACGGATGCGACAGAGACTTTTTGAGACCGACAGATAGACTGACGGATGTGGCAGAGACTTTTTGAGACCGACAGATAGACTGACGGATGCGACAGAGACTTTTTGAGACCGACAGATAGACTGACGGATGTGACAGAGACTTTTTGAGACCGACAGATAGACTGACGGATGCGACAGAGACTTTTTGAGACCGACAGATAGACTGACGGATGTGACAGAGACTTTTCGAGACAGACAGATAGACTGACGGATGTGACAGAGACTTTTCGAGACAGACAGATAGACTGACGGATGTGATAGAGACTTTTTGAGATCACACAATCAGACAGAAACACACAGAAACTCACAGGACTTTCTTGGTGGCTGCCCTGCGTACTTGGAGGCCGAAGGGGTTGTGTTTGAGCTCTATCTCGTAGTTACGGGGGCCAGAGGGATGGGTGGTAGGGGGCTTGATGTGCTCATGGGGAACCTCAAATCGCTGTTTGTGGGCATCTGTGATCTGGAGACAAAACACAGGGACAGGGGTCAAGAGGACGTGTGTTTTGGTGTAGGTTGCAAGTGTCAGTGTGTATAGTACACATGGGTGCTTATATAATATGTGTCCTATTGTGTGTGTGTGTGTGTGTGTGTGTGTGTGTACCTTGAATCTGAGTCGGTTCACTGTCTGCATGTCAGCATGGAAAGACAGCTCCTCTATGTCTTCACCAAACAGAGAGGGGGCAACCTTCCTCTTCAGAAGGGCCGACAAGCCTCCAATCACAAGCAAAAAGTTAAAAGCAGAAATCTATGTAGGCAAATTCAAGAGCAATTTCTAGTATAGGGCATGATATGTTTTGAATTATTTTAACATTTGAAAAAATACTGGTTCCTGAGGGTCAGGACTGACTGTGAATAAAGTAGTGATATCAAGTAGGAAAATGGAAAAACTTTTATTCTGTTATGTCTATCATGTTTAGCAATATGCTAAACAATGGGGGGGAGGGGGAGGGGGGGGGGGGGAGGGGGAAGGAAGATAGAAAAGAAGAGAGATGGAAAGAGGGGGGATGGAGGAGGGGGAGAAAGATTGAAAAGAAGAGAGATGGAAAGAGGGGGGATGGGGAGGGGGGAGAAAGATTGAAAAGAAGAGAGATGGGAAGAGGGGGGGATGGGGGGAGGGGGGAGAAGAAAGATGGGAAAAGACGAGAGATTGGGAAAGGAGGGAGGATGGGGAGGGGGAAGAAATATGGAAAAGAAGAGAGTGGAAAGAGGGGGGATGGGGGAGGGGGAGAAAGATGGAGGTAGAGAGATGGAAAAGAGGGGGGGATGGTGGAGGGGGGGCGAGGGGGAGAAAGATGGAAAGAAGAGCAGATTGGAAAGGATGAGATGGAATAGGGGGGGGGATGGGGGGAGGGGGAGAAAGATGGCAGGTAGAGAGATGGAATAAAGAGGGGGGTGGGAGGATGGGTGGAGGGGAAGAAAGATGGAAAAGAAGAGAGATGGAAAGAGGGGGGATGGGGGAGGGGGAGAAAGATGGAAAAGAAGAGAGATGGAAAGAGGGGGGATGGGGGAGGGGGAGAAAGATGGAGGTAGAGAGATGGAAAGAGGGGGGATGGGGGAGGGGGAGAAAGATGGAAAAGAAGAGAGATGGAAAGAGGGGGGATGGGGGAGGGGGAGAAATATGGAAAAGAAGAGAGATGGAAAGAGGGGGGATGGGGGAGGGGGAGAAATATGGAGGTAGAGCTCACTGTTGCTGTTGGATTGCTCCTCTCTGACCACAGAGTAGCCGTGATTGGTGGAGAAGAAGCACCATGGAGCGTTTCTCTCGTCCAATGGGCTCCAACAACATCCTCGCTGCTGACACCCCAGCTAGGGTAGGAAGGGAATCATCATCATCAGCAGCAGCAGTTTGTATTATGTATGCTATGGTTGGCCAACCTTCCTCCTTGACAGCTACTGGGAATGCAGGTTTTTGCTCCAACCCAGTTGTAAAACTCCTAATTGAGCTAATCAAGGTCCTGCTGGGCAGCTACTAAGTATAACCAGACACGCTAGATCAGGGTTTGATGTGAAACCTGCAGGAGGGTAGCTCTCCAGGAGGAGGGTTCGGTACTCCTGATATCTGCACTCTGTTTAGTAATGATGGGAAAGTAAATCCTCTAGGAATGGTGAGATGTGTTTAGGCCTGGAGTAGAGGACCCAGGTCTCCATGGGAACATACCTTAGATGCACCGGCATCAGGGAAACAGTCGACTCTCTCCGCCAGGGGAATATTGGGACATTCTGGAACCATGGTGTCTGTAGTCTCTGTCAGAGCATACAGGAAATACGTTTTTACTGATCAAACACTGACCCAACAACCAATCACAAATCACCACTGAGAAGCATTAGCCAACAGGGCTTCAGCTTAGGCTTCGGCTGGAATTCATGAAAATCTGCACTGTCAAAAAAATAATCTCAGTCATACATGAGTTCACTTGACATTGAGTAAATTAAATGTTTTTTTTTGTGAGGAGTAGGGATAATTATACAAGTGATGTTACTAATGTATCTGCCCTTTGAGCGACTGTCTGGGGCATGACATTGACCAAGGAGAGAGGATGAGTGGAAGCAGACTGGGGCATGGTTCTGCCTCATCCCTAATATACAGACCAAAACCATGGGCAGTGACCGGAAGAGAGAGAGAAAGAGAGAGAGAGAGAGAGAGAGTGTTAGGATGTATGTGTGTGTGTGTGTGTTTGTTTGCGTGTGCTTGTGTGTGTGTGCGTGTGTGTTTGTTTGCGTGTGCTTGTGTGTGTGTGCATGTGTGTTTGTTTGCGTGTGCTTGTGTGTGTGTGCGTGTGTGTTTCTATGTGGTTGGCATTGTCTCACCTCTAGAAAGTTGTTTGTGATTTGGAGTGACAGCTGTCATAATATCCATATCAGTGTTCTTTCTTATGCCCCCAAAACAACCCTTACTGTCCTCAGCCCTGTCCCCTTTCTCTGCTGTATGTATGTATGTGTGTGTGTGTGTGTGTGTGTGTGTCTGTGTGCGTGTGCTTGTGTGTGTGTGTGTGTGTTGTGTGTGTGTGTCTGTGTGTGTGTGTGTGTGTCTGTGTGTTTTCTCACCGTCTTTGATGACCGAAGGCTCCCCAGTAGCCATTAGAACAACTAAAGCAACAGCCACTGTTGTCATCAGCAGGAACATGACTGTCAGAGTCACCTCCAACCCTGAAAACTTCCGCTTCCCCATCTAACACAGACACACATAAAAAGACATAGTGAATACACATCCACCAAAAGACACACTCTATGTGTCAGCATTCATCACCTCTGCTGACCACAAGGTCTAACATGTTGTCAACACTGTCTGTCTAATGAGGCCTTATGGCAGATCCTCTGTAGCTCAGTTGGTAGACCGTGTAGCTCAGTTGGTAGAGCATGGCGCTTGCAACGCCAGGGTTGTGGGTTCGATTCCCACGGGGGGCCAGTATGAAAAAAATATTAATGTATGCACTCATTAACTGTAAGTCGCTCTGGATAAGAGCGTCTGCTAAAATGACTTAAAAGTAAAATGTAGACTAGAGCATGACTCTTGAAATGCCAGGATAGTGTGTTCGATTCCCGGGACCACATATACATAAAAGAAGTATGCACGTATGACTGTAAGCTGCGCTTGAATAAAAGCACCTGCTAAATGGCATTAATTATTATATATTAGCTCTGCTATGGACACAAGCTACTACTGTCAAGGAAAGGGACCTGAGGACACAAGAGGACACTACTGCTGTCAAGGAAAGGGACCTGAGGACACAAGAGGACACTACTGCTGTCAAGGAAAGGGACCTGAGGACAGAAGAGGACACTACTGCTGTCAAGGAAAGGGACCTGAGGACAGAAGAGGACACTACTGCTGTCAAGGAAAGGGACCTGAGGACAGAAGAGGACACTACTGCTGTCAAGGAAAGGGACCTGAGGACACAAGAGGACACTACTGCTGTCAAGGAAAGGGACCTGAGGACAGAAGAGGACACTACTGCTGTCAAGGAAAAGGACCTGAGGACACAAGAGGACACTACTGTTGTCAAGGAAAAGGACCTGAGGACACAAGAGGACAAGCATCTGCGTCCTTCTTAGGAGACAACCACATTTAACTCTGTATCATCCCAGGCTGAAACAGCTTGTTTCTCACTGACACCAGACATGACAAATTGACCGGAGAGAGAAAGACAGAGAGATATAGAACATGAGTCAGTGGGATAGGAAGAAGACAAGGTGGAGAGTGTGTGAGTGTGTATGTGTGTGTATGTGTGTTAGAGCGAGAGAGGGCTCAATGCTGAGTGGTTCAGTGATCCTAGTGCAGAGAGCAGCCCCAGCCTTTATAAACAGACCCATCATATCTACCTACCTATTAGGCACCAGTCCCAGTACTGGTGGAGCCACAGGCAGGGTGAGTGTGTGTGTGTGTGTGTGTGTGTGTGTGTGTGTGTATGAGGAGCATGGCCAGCTTGTTTAATGTGGTGTGAAGAGCATACGAGGGCGGGCAAACAGACCGCCGGGGAACGTATGTGTGCCACCATTTGCCCGCAATCAATTAACACACCACAAATCACCACAAAAACACACAGTCATATATAACGTGACACAGCAGCCATGGTCTGTCAGACCCAAACACACAGTCACCAACTGCTCCATATAAACTATAAACATGAGATCCAAGATCCTTTGCATTGTCAGACATATGATAAGGATAATGTCTCCCTTACCTTCGACCTCTTGTTGATGTCGAAATAGCAGTTCTACCTGAGCTCCACAAGGACCCTTCAGACACCTCCTATACTATCATTAACAGACAGGGTCAAAGTCTCAGCTCTATAACCAACAGACACCTCCTTGTGGCAGCGTCAGGTAAGCTCAAGGAGGGTGGCGAGGTTCTGCTCGCCTGAGTTAGAGTACCTCACGATAAGCTGCACACCTTACTATCTACCGAGTTAGAATACCTCACGATAAGCTGCACACCTTACTATCTACCGAGTTAGAATACCTCATGATAAGCTGCACACCTTACTATCTACCGAGAGAGAGTTTTCATCTATATTTTTCGTAGCCGTCTATTTACCACCACAAACCGAAGCTGACAAAAAGACCTCACTCAACCAGCTGTATAGGGCCATAAGCAAACAAGAACATTATTATCCAGAGGAGATGTTCCTATTGCAGAAGTAAAGACAATGTTCCCGAGTTTCGCGGAGACTGCATTCACGGTAAACACTGTGTCGGCTCAATCGGAAATTACCTTTACATTTTCATGTGGCTCTTCTGCGATACGGATTGAATCCAGCCCTAAAACGGCCAGGGCTGCATGACAAGGATTAACTCGATTCTAGAATTTTCATGAAATAGGGCATGATTAACCCTGTGAACTTTTTCAGTAACAAATTAACACATTTTCTATTTTACACCATAGGTTTTCTAGGTGACAATTGTGCAACAGATAGATGTTTATTTTCTTGTAGCTTGATGAAAGAGAAACGAGGAGTTGTCAGACTAACGCATGTCAAACATTTCCTGTAATTAATTAATTTCGCTATCCATAGATAGTAATTCATCTGTTTTACCTAAATGGTTATTCTTTCTCTATACGTTGAAATAGGGCATGATTAACCCTGTGAACTTTTTCAGTAACAAATTAACACATTTTCTATTTTACACCATAGGTTTTCTAGGTGACAATGGTGCAACAGGTAGATGTTTATTTTCTTGCAGCTTGATGAAAGAGAATCGAGAAGTTGTCAGACTAACGCATGTCAAACACTTCCTGTAATTAATTAATTTCGCTATCCATAGATAGTAATTAATCTGTTTTACCTAATGGTTATTCTTTCTCTATACGTTGTTTTCAGCCGGCTTTTTCTCTTTACCAACTCAATAACCTACACACACTGTATCTCTTCTGCCACTACTTGTCACGGTTTCGGCCGAGGCTGCTCCTCCTCCTTGTTCGGGCAGGCTTCGGCGGTCGTCGTCCCCGGAGTACTAGCTACCACCGTTCGATGTTTTCATGTTTGTTTGGTTTTGTCTGTTTGTACACCCTGTCCCTTGTTTAGTGTTTGATTTTGTTTCCTATTTAGTTATTGTGTGTTGGGTCAGGTGTTATGTGTGATTGTTTTTTGTCAAGCTGTTGCTCTCTGTATTTACTCTCGTGTTTTTTTGTTTTCGAGAGTCCGCACTGTGTGCGCTATCGTCGTTTTACGCACTGTGTTTATTGTGCGTAATTTGTATTTTGCCTCCCGGTTGGGTTTGGCTGTTTCGCCTGTTTGGTGCTGCTTTCGTTTACTAAAGTCTGTTCACGAACGCCCGTGTTTCCTGCGCTTGATTTCCACACCGCATCTACACTCAGCTACTGACACTACTTGAGGTTTGCTTTAATGATTATAGAAGCGGTAAGCCAGCAGCAGTTAAAAAGCTAGGTTGCACAGTAGTGTAAGCTGGCAACCGTTTGGTCATACTCAATTAAAACACATGATTGCATATAGTATATTTATGAACACCTTATCTGAGACTATGTTTCCCCATTGAGTTTAACATTGTCTTACCTTGCTCCGCTCGTTGCCTTATTACTCAGTCACGCTGTCTTCTGTCTCGTCCACGTTATATCATATTACTCTGTCATAAGGTCTTACCGGCTATAAGACACGGTCTGTCTATGTGTCGGTGTGTGAACATGTGCTGTAATTCAACAATCTGTAAGTATTTATATCAATGTGTAAGAGAGATAGCAAGAAAGAGAGATAGTGTTTTACAACTTCACTGTACCCAACCAGCAACTATAACGTGATAACCATCACAACCAACAAATATCAACCAAGGTCACGTTTGCTTCCTGATATTGCTGTGTTAATGGAGGTGTGTGCATGCATGTGTGTGTGCACATTGTAATGATTTACCAGTCATAAAAACTGTCAATCGGCTTATATAATCATCATCCTCACATGATCCCCAATGACCAATGCAAAACATTTACCCACACTTTATTGGCCTGGGTACAAAGACAAACTATTACTGACTACAAAGGGAAGAACAGTTGCGAGCTTCCCAGTGACACAAGCCTACCAGACGAGCTAAATCACTTCTATGCTCGCTTCGAGGCAAGCAATACTGAAGCATGCATGAGAGCATCAGCTGTTCCGGATGACTATGTGATCACGCTCTCCATAGCCGATGTGAATAAGACCTTTAAGCAGGTCAACATTCACAAGGCCGCAGGCCTAGACGGATTACCAGGACGCGTCCTCCGAGCATGCGCTGACCAACTGGCAAGTGTCTTCACTACCATTTCCAACATGTCCCTGACTGAGTCTGTAATACCAACATGTTTCAAGCAGTCTCTGTGCCTAAGAACACTAAGATAACCTGCCTAAATGGCTACCGACCCGTAGCACTCATGTCTGAGCCATCAGGTAAACAGAGCCAGTGTCACTAGCCAGGGCCCGGTATGAAGCCATTAATACATCATAGGGTCCCGACCCTCCATTTGGCAAGCTGAGAGTGTCCTCTCCTCTCCTCTCCCCACCCCTCCCCTCTCCTCCCCCTTCCCTACCCTCCCCTCCTCAACCCCTCTCCTTCGTCGCTCGGGTCCTCTCCTCTCGTCATTCAGGTGCGTTCTCTTCCTCTCCTCCGTCCTCCCTCCCCTCCTCCTCTCCTCTCCTCTCCTTCCTCTTCCTCTCCTCTCCCCACCCCTCTCCTCTCCCCACCCCTCTCCTCTCCTCTCCTCTCCTCTCCTCTCCTCTTCCTCTCCCTCATTCTCTTCCATCTTCCTCTCCCTCGCCTCTCCTCTCCTCTCCTCTCCTCTCCTCTCCTCGTCCTCTCCGCTCCATCCTCTCCTCTCCTCTCCTCACCCCTTCCCTCCTCTCCTCTCCCCACCCCTCCTCTCTCCTCCCTCCTCTCCTCTCCTCTCTTCTCCTTTCCTCTCTCCTCTTCCTTCCCTCCTCTACTCCCTGATATTTGTATCCTCTTCTCTCTCTTCTTTCTCTCACTCAGTTGTTTTCAATTGCTGCCTCTCACACACAAGCTTGCAACACCAGCCCATTTCGATGGCCCAAACTGGAATTGGCAATTCAGTCCTGACTATCGATCCCGTTGTTTTCAATCAGGCCCCTCAACACTGATAGCTGCGTACCTAGCATTAATTCGTTTATGTGCGCGAGTGTTTGTTTGAGAGAGTGCGTGCATGCGTGAGTGAGTGCTGAGGGG